TGACGAATAAGAAGCACAGTGTTACTGTAAAATCATGATACTGGTTTCGATACCGAACAAAGCTATGAAATGTCGATTTATTAAGTTAATTTATTATGTTTACTTTAATTAAATTTATTAATTTTTTTTCCTAAACAGATAAAAATGAGTACAAACTAAACACGACAGTATAAATTGTGTGTTCTACTTAAGTAAAATAAATAAGGACGTGTTCATCGTTCTACATTTAATTCGCACTAACCCCCCCCCCCCCCCCCCCCCATTTTAATTTGAAAAGAAACTAGATCCATGTGAACGTCTACCGATACTCTAATTGGAAAGAACATTGATATTAATTTCTATCAAAGTTTTGTTTCAGGAGTATGCATTAGACAAATGATGATTATATAAAAGGTCATAGTTTTACATTTATTTGAATTAAAATAACACTTTCAGGTGGGGTTCCAGAAAATCCAGATTCGAGAATCAGCTAAAAGATGTACATTATTTCAAAAGAATAATGCGGACAGTAACAGTGTAAGAGATTAAATATGTGATTCTAGGAATTACATACGCAAGAATTATTATTGGTTTTGGGTATGGATATTTTCCAGATTTGTGTTTGTATATTTCAGAAGTAATTAGGGGGGAGGTATCAAAAAAAATTAATTTGAAAAAAATAATCTACCAACAGAGTGGTTTTACACTCACACACACACACACCCTTACATACACATAAAAAAAACAGAAACAAAGATAAAACAGAAAAAATTAACATTTGTTTTAACTTTTTTTTTTTAACTTTTATCATCGAATATAAAATGATCTTGATTTAAACTACTTTATTATAGACCACCTTTTGCATAATCAATGCAATACAATGATGTGTTCACGTAATATATTTATTTAATAGACTCAGACTTCACTATAATCCATAAACAGCCTAAGGCATGTTACCTGACCAGTTGGCTGTGTGCGTTCAAGTTTGAAGCGATTTCCTGTCACGAAAACATACTTTGGATGCATTAAAAGCATCTGAAAATGAGTTGCAAAAATAGGATTATTCAGTCTTGACACTGCTAGGCGATTTATTTATTACTTTAAGGCAAGGAAAAAAAAGCCACGCAAAGCTAGCTGACATCGGATATTAAAATAAAACTATAATTTGTAACACATGTTCGTGAGTTTAAAAAATAGTAAGATTTCTTGGTCATAAACTCCGTGCGACACGGTGGAGACACACCGCAACACTCTGTGGACACACCGTGGTGCACCGTGGACACACCGTGCTACACGGAGCGCTGAAACCGCTACTTCAAAGGTGCCGACTATTTTCAAGGCCCACGCTAAAGCGTGGGTTCTCGGTCCACGGTGCCCCGTGTTTTATGCGGAAAACTCGTGAGCTGTACTGTAGGTTTACATTCGTCCCCACACACTAAGAAATTTCCCTGGCCACTGGAAATTTCTCTGCTAGATCCAGAACATAATTTTAAACTTAGTCACCGTTTATTTCGTTCACAAGGTAAGAATAATCCTGCAGCATTGTTTACTTTTTATAAAACAAAATCCACAGTCCTCGAAGATAATTTAGTCACGATTTCTTTATTGTTAATTGCATACGATAGTCGCACAACATAGGAAGTTCGTGGACGTCTTCTTCTTGTTCCCGAAATAAAGTCCAATATATACGGTTACATTGATTATATAGGTCCATTATATGTTTTCCTAACAACTCTTCATGGATATATGGTTGTACTACTGTTCACTACTGGAACCTTCACTACTCCTCGCTAAACTTGTTCGCTTTGGAATCAATGTTCTCATTCCACACTTAGGTATAGATTAAAACTTAGTTATATTCCACATTAATATAAGTAACATACTAGGTCACCGTGTTACTTTTGAAGTTCACGCAACGGATACAGTCCTGGTGATTTAGTAGATGACGGAGTGCAATTATCACCACTCCAGACGGTAGCATCGTCCTTCAAATAAGAAGCCATCATTGTATCCCGTACTTTAAATTTTAAATTTGAGTCCAACAGTTAAGTCTGAAGTAAGATAGTTTTTGTTCTCAGACGTCAGAATTTGTAATTGACTTATTAATTGTTGGTACATTCGTTCAAAAGTACAACACAAATCAGTAAATATCATTAGTCTCCAACGATTTCTTCATCTGTAGGCATCTCCAAATGACTGCTATCACCTGTCGTATTCCTCATTTCCACGACGTCTTGTGATATCCACAGTCGGTATACTCAAATACATAAACACGGTACTGTCCTTTTCACAATCGCATCCTCACAGCGAATTTAACTCAGGATTAGTACAAACACTTATGACGGCCCATTAACACTGGGTCAGACGTAACCACCGTCCTTGGTATCAGACCAACGCCATATTTAAAAATAAATGCCTCAAATTTCGTCCACGATAAATTCCAACGTATTGTTTGATTCAGTGTTGCACTTTTCTCGAGATCTCAAAACTTCAAAACATATCTAGTCAATTTTCAAATTCAAGATTTAAAAAATGTGACAATAAATCTGACGTGAACTTCATTACCATTTTCTCTTGCCTGTCCGTTACGAAAATAATCTTAGTTTACTTTTTTAAATAACATTGATTACATGCGAACTAACATAACTACATATACACAATATCATTTAAAGCATTACTTGTTTTTATAAATTCAATTTCGAGATGATGATTTTTGTTTCAATTTTCCCACTATTACTTACTTTTTACTCTTGGTAATCAGAAATCGACTCTACATGATTAAAGTTTTTCTTCATATAAAATTTTAGATATTAATAATTTCCTTCACTTTCAAAACTGTTGCCAAATAAGTCATAAATATCCTTTAAAACAAACCAAAACAATAAGCAAAAAAAATTCCAAAAGATTAATTTTAAAAAATCAAATTATGGTCAGGCTACAGATACTTCTGGATCAGAAATTTACGTCATACCTTGCCACATTTTCCCTCCGCGTTTGACATTTTAGTTTTACTTCGTATCGCCTTGGTCGTAAGTGACGAATTGACTTTGTAATATTTTTCCATTCCTGGTTCCGAGCATTAATTTAATTCACAGTCCTTTTTCCGTCTTAATCACAAACGTTAAATCTGATTGTACTTCGCATATCCTGGTCAACGAGCACCAAATTGACTTGTACGATGTAAGCCAATGACAACTCTTTTGTCGATTTCAAAAGTTTATTAAATTAAATCCAATTTACAATTCTCCGTGATCGTATAGTTTTTAGAAATGTTCTGAAATATGATCAGAAAAGACCAATACACTTTTTATATAAATGTCCAAAGGATCCGTCCAAAATAAAAAGAGTTTAAGACCGAACTCCAAATAATAAATAAATAAAAGTCCAAAAGAATGATTCCCAGAGTAATAAAAAGCCAAAGAAGTGTAATAGTTTGAGAATAAAACCGGGAATGGGAATAAAAGCGGGAATAAAAACGGGAATACTCTTTCCTGAGTAAAACAGGGTATTTTGTGCTCAGTGGGTATCCATGGTCCCAGATATAAAAATATATTTCATTGGCTAATTCACCATCACTAACCACCTACGCTTTATCCGTAGGTCTGTCTGTTGACCTATGAACCCCAACATGGCACCACCCTCGAATACAGGTAAACACTCATTACTAATATTTATGGGCTCAGTCCCCATCTCTGCACCACAGGAGTTCTAGCCTTAAGCTCTTTTACTTATTTACTTCAAAGTTCCCAATTTTATTGCTCTTAGTCAAAACTCTTAATAATACCATTGTATTTCCGTTCAAATTTTATTACTTACTATCGATGGGCTTGATTGGTCTATTCGGATCAATTTCATTACAAAATGATCTAACAAATTATAGTGTATTTGAACAACACCAAAATCCAATTTGTTTTGACAAGATAATAATTGTTTACAAAATAAAGTCCTTTTTCCAATTGTAAAGTCACCGAATTTGCGTCACTAATAATATACATTCTGATTTAATAAACCTTTATCTCATTTCATTTTAACTGCTAAAAACTAAAAATGATAATGTTATTAATATTGTCTAAGTTTAAAATGTTCACTCAATATGTCTCTGCTAAACCCTATAGGTTTACACCTATAGAAATTTCTATGTATCAGTGGAAAACGGCATTTTTAAAAACAGCTTGTAGAGACAAAAGAGTTGCATTTTTGATAACATATACTGCATATTAGAATAGAAAAAGAGGAAAAAGATGACTTGAATCCTGATTTAAAAAGAAAAAAAAAATGGAAAAGGGGGGGGGGTCCATACCCCAAGTGCCTATGGCACAGAAAACAATTTGTAATTGTGGTTTAAAAAGCAGCGCTTCAGTATGTTTTCTAATGGGAATTAGATAGGTATGAGAGGAAATATTATTTTTATATATACCTCATATTTCTAATTTAATTGTGAGATTAAAAATAATTAATCTTTCTATTAACCATATCAAATTTTCTCCACATCATGATTTGACATATTATTCATTTCTGAAAAAGTAAGCAACGCTTCATACTTCAAACTATTTTCCATTTGAATTTAATGCTAGCCTATATCAATGTCTGGATTTTTAAAAAATAAGTCGGGAAATTTGGAGCAGAGGGATATTGTCCCTTAAAAGAAAAAAAATCCTATGTCGAAGGTTGATAAGATCATGCGACTAGATGTAGAATTCATATATACTGAACATTATGCTGCATGCATAGACAAGTTAGAAATTATTAAATACTTTGAAAAACCTAAGGCTAAGAAAAAGACGCCAGTATATATTTCGAATCGTTCTTTATTGGTCGCACAGTTCTTGATAAATATTTTTGTTGAATCTCTTTCTACGTTTTACACGTTTTGAAAACTCCAAAAAGCAAATGGAGTTAATCATGTGTGTAAACTTTAGATGAATTTTTTTCCGCGAAAAATTAACTTTCGTTTTTGAATACTGTTTTTGATTGGTGATTAGGAAGGAGACACGTGATTCAAATTATCGGGATATGACAGAGGGGATTGTAGCTGATAAAGAGAGTCGAGAAAATTGTAATTGGAGGTATTGTCAATTTGCAAAAAGAGGTGAATTTAGTTACCAGTTAAAAACAGAACAATAACTGTGAGTGACTTTTGAATCTCATTGAAAGCTTGAAGGGTTTGAAGATGCGGGTGACCCTTACACTCGTTTTGTCGTTACTTTCGTTTTGATTTCAACTCGACTTATGGGCATATTGATATAGCTTTAGACTGCACAAATGTTAATATAGTACATGATATCGTAAACCTAAGAATTATTAATAGTTGATAACTTTTAAAATATACTTTCGGTTTAGAAACTCAAGGCAATACAGGCGCGGATCTATTATATTTTTTTCAAAAGGGGGTGGGGTTGAAGAGAAAAAAAGTTGTTATATACCTAACGTATGATTACAAATGGTTAAATCTACAGGATATAGGGATGTAGTATGGGTTTATAAACGGGAGGGTGATAAACCTTTGAAAAAAATACACATATGGATTTCAATCCTGTTTTGTCAATCGGGGGTCGAATGGGGATGGTGGGGTGGTGGTGGTGGGGGGACCATTTTGTTTTCACAACCTGAATTTTCTATTTGTTATTATCTATAGTAAAACACAACAAAAATTTGGGACTGCAGGGCTCTCAATTCTCCAAATCTGGGGCCGAATTTCGGCCCTGTTCCCAATGCCAAAAAGGTACCTTTTTTCCCAAAAGATAGGTGTAAATTTCCCAATTTCCATAGCAAAATATGAATTAAAAAATAAAAGTCCATGAAACTTAATCGCAAAAAAAAAAAAACCCAACAAACAACTGTTTGCAAATGAAAGTGAAACCGTACCACTATTTTATTAGTTTGCGCCAAATGCATTTGTAAACTGGTTAGGGGAACCAGGTTATTGTTTTTACAAAATTGTGTACTAACTATGAGTGCAGAATATTTTGTCATGTAGTTTCAACAAAAAGAGCCAAAGACCATACTTGCCAACTCATCCGATTTCGTCGGGTCACACCCGATTTTTCAACCCGTAACCCGATTATTTTTTATGACCTGGCGGGTCATGCTTATCACCCGATTTTTGCCGATCAACCCGAAAATCTCCCGATTTTCCGGATTTGGTTCCTAATTTAGGTTGCACTTTTAACTTCCAGTTACAACCCAAGCTTAGATCTACGTAAACCGTAAACAGTGCAAGTGTAAACAATTAACTGGGTGTTGTTTTGACTAATCAAAGTTTGAAGTCAATTAAAATGGCTTCCGATAGAACTAAATCGTTATCAGGGCCAACAGGAACAAGTTGAACTAAACACATGTCTCTGATTGAACCAAGAAAAGAGAAACGATATTTATGTACTATATCAAGGAATCTTGGAAAAAACTTTCATTCTAGATAAAATAGAGTGATCGCTAATAGTGTAGGCCTAACTTCACATTTAAAACATATTGCAGTAGTTAATTAATTAAGAGAGAGGAAAAATAACTTCAAAACTGAAATTGGAATACTTTCAAATTTAGCAGAAACTGAAAAGGCTTTAAAAAAAATACACACTTACTTCAGGTCAATACTAATACATGAAACCTTTAATTAATTTTCATTTCTTTTAACATGTAAATTTAAATCAAATTATGTATGAATTTTTTGTCATATTAAATCCTTTTTCAATAAAAGAATTCTCAATGCACAAATACTTTGTATATATGTATAAAATTTAATCATGGTAAATGTGTCGTGAATGTCGTTACGCGTTATGACCAGATTTTTTACTTTCCAAATCTGGTCATGACCAGATTTTTACATGCTGGAAGTTGGCAAGTATGCCAAAGACTCAGATGAGCTTTTTGATCAAAGTTTGTCTGTTGGCTGTCCTTGTTGTTGGCGCTTTTAAAATTTCATTGCTTAATTTGAATAATTTCATTGTTGCTGTTAATATTGTAAATGTTTTCAAATTTTCATCTTCTTGTCAAGAACTACTAAGCTAATTTCAACAAAACTTGCCACGAACATGAAGAAGTATTCATGGGTAAAGAGGATTCAAGTTTATTCAAATAAAGGGCCAAACCTTCTTCAAAGGGGAGATAACAAATTAGGGAAATATTAAGGGCATCATTTAAAAATCTTCACAAGAACCACTAGGCCATGAAGATGAAAGTCAAGTGGAATCATCCTCAGGTAGTGTAAAGTAAAGTTTGTTCAGATCATGATGTATATATAAAATATTGTTTTAATTATTAAACATGCAGTCATATAAATTGTACCAATAAAAAATGTTTGCCCCCCCCCCCCTGGTGTTTGATCTGGGGACCTTTGGACTGTTGAGCCAGTCACACCTTACACTTAATAATTTACTTATGGTTTAATATGAAGTAGGAGGGGAGAAAAGCGGGTATATAACATATTGCTGGACCGGGAATCGAACCCAGAACCCCTGAATTAAAAGTCAGGTGCTCTAACCAACTGAGCTATCCAGGCCAATCTCCACGGCTCAAACCCTTACATATATCATGTTTATATTCAAGTAACTCGCAAGGTTAGGGTGGGGTCATGATGGTTGATCAAAGTTTACTTTAAAAAATAGAGGAAACCAAGATGTGTTTGTGAAACACTGATGCCCCCGTATGGCAACAAAGCAAAGATGAAGCTTTCTCAAATGCAGATCAAATATGTTGGTACCTAAAGTATAAAAAGGCCTTTTCACAAGAAGTACATTAATTTGAAATACAAAACACTAGAACCACCTGTTCAAGGTTAATGACCAAGGTTAACTTTTTAAAGGTAGGAAAAATTCAAGGGTCAGGTCAAGGTTGTTGGTTTCTAAAAAAAAGGCCTTGTCTCAAAGATTAAATATGGGAAGAATGAAAGGGCTGGCCCTCACTGTTCAAAAGTAATTACATGTACCAAGGTTAAAGTTTGTAGAAAGGAGGTCAAACTCCAAAGTCAAAGGGTAAAGGTTCTTGATATCCAATGAAAGGTCTTGTCACAAGGATAACACATTTGAAGTATGAAAGCCCTAGCCTTTACCGTTGAAAAAAGGTGACCAAGGTTAAAGTTTTTTCGTAAGTACAGAAATCTCTAAGGTCAAGGTCAAAAGGTCAAAATTGTTGGTTTCAAATGAAAGGTCTTGCCAATAAGAAATGATATTTTAAGGATTTCAATCCATAATGGGACCAAATTCTTAAATGTCCGTCAAGTACACAATACTCTGATATTATATTGAAGCATTTTATAGTGGAAAAGGATTGCCCACGAGAAATTTTTAAAAAGTTCATTAATTAAGCAATAATTAATAAACAAAGATTGCATTCAAGTCTATGGGGAAAAGGGTTTTTTTTCAAAATAAAAATTCAAATAAATTGAATATCAAAAAATCTAGCTGCAGATCTGTAGCTATCCGGAAAAATATATATTGATAGACCGGATAGCTACAGTGCCACCCATTTAAAAAACTGTATACTTATTGCGCACAAAAAAGTGCGCTTGGTTTTCGATTTATTTCTCCATGTTCCTAAAACTGAAATCTCATAATATTACTAACCGTGTGTTCCTAACATATTCTTTGACTCCTTCCACAACAAAACATTCGTCATAATTATTTTTAATAGTCCTCTTGACCCTGATAGTGTAATCATCGAACATTTCGATTACATATTCTGCCATTTTGGTTTCAAAGATAATTCGGTCCAATATGCTTCGTTCAGATGTCAACTACGAATGTAATTGATAAAGGAAACAGAAACTTTTTAAAATCTTCCCTCTTTTGCAATTGAGGTAAGAATTAGGAAGAAATAATCAAGAACCGAGTGCACTTTTTTGTGCGCAATAAATATACAGTTTTTTCAATGGGTGGCACTGTAGCTATCCAGTCTATCCATATATATTTTTCCGGATAGCTACAGATCTGCAGCTACAAAAAATCCTCTGGCGGAAAGATGCATTGAAATATTAGAAATAGAATGATAATTGAAAACAATTTTTTTACTAGCTAATTTTTTTAAATTTATTTTTTTTATTAATTAAAAAAGGGGATATAACTCTTACCCAAATTCAAGGTCATGAATTTGGACACATCCCACTAAACATACTTATAGTCATAAATGGGAAGTATGTCTAAATAAATTGAGTATTCAATGACTAAATATCTGTTATGTTTTCAATTTCATTGAATTTCTTCATATTAGGGATTGAAGACTTTAAATATGAAATTCCTAGTATCTACCATTTAGAAATTAGGGTCAAAGTAAAATTTTAGAATTTTTGTGTAAAAAAGGGTCAAACTCAAAGGTCAGGGTCAACCTGTCATGGTTCTTGGTATTAAATGAAAGGTCTTGTCACAAGGTAGAAATTTGTGAAGTATGGAAGCCCTAGTCCTAACCATTTAAAAATTATGGTCAAGGTTGTATTTTTTAAATAGGTCAAACTCAAAGATCAAGGTCAAAGGGTCAAGGTATTTAATAAAGCGTCTTTTTACAAGGTTAACATATGTGAAAGATGAAAACCCTAGCTATTTCTGTTCAAAAGTTATTGCCAAGGTTAAAGTTTTTTCATAAGTATGTAAATCTCCAAGATCAAGGTCAAAAGGTCAAGGTTAGTTGTATCCATGAAAGGTCCTGCCACAAACAATACATAAGTCAAGTATAAATGTTGTAGTATATACTATTCAAAAGATATGGCCTAGGTAAAAGTTCAAAATATATTTGTAAAAGTGGGTCAAACCTCAAGGTCAAGGTCAAATTTAGTGGAACCCAACAAAAGATCTTGTCACAAAGAATACACATGTGAAATATGAATGTCATAGCTCCACTAAATCAAAAGTTATGGACAAGGATAAAGTTTTTGCGGACAAACAGAGAGACAGAAAGACAGCTAGACAGACAGACAGACGGACACAACAAAAATTATATACCCTGAAACTTTGTTTATGGGGGCATAAAAATCTTCTACCCAAGAACAGAAAAGCTATAATTTTTATTAAATCATATTAATATGTAAACATCCTCGAGTCAGTAAGCTGATATTAAATTTTGTTTAAATCATCACCTATCTTCTTCGATGAGGGGCATTATAAAACAAAAAAAAAAACTTTGTTATTGGATGAATCTTTGTTTCAATGAAAACATCTACTACTTCCCAATGTCTATAAATGAATCAACTTCTCCTAGCCAAGTGTGCGTAGGGATGGTGGATGGAAAAAATAACTGTCGTTAGTTTTATTTAATATGAAAACAAATCTATGCTATACATGTATGTGATATTAACTGCACATTTACATGTATATGTATGCTTATCATAATCATACGAATTGAGATTGTATTAACGATTGTTTAATAAGAAAAGTGACTTTATAAATGCCATCAAATGGGAAAATCCGTTTTGTGTGCAAAATACTGTGCATGGGCCACTGCATAAATAACTCTAATTTCATGTCTATAAATACAATGTAGCGATACATAAAATTTGAATATAGTGGACCTTCAGATATCCGGATGCCAGATATCTGGATGCTTCAGTATCCGGGCACTTTTTCATCAGAACAGAATTTTAAAATGTTAATATGTTTTGTTTAACTGGTGATTTAGGTATCCGGACACTTCACGTATCCGGACAAATTGACTTGGAACCAAAGCGTCAAGATAAATGATGCTCCACTGTATTGTAGTGTATATAATTATTTTTATTTACCATTATTTGTACATGTATGTCACAGATTTGTGCTGTGTGGGAGAGACATAAAGCTATCATGGCACAGAATCCAGGAGGAGGTTATCCCCCACCAGGTTTTCCTGTAGGTAACAATGGAGGTATGTTAAACATGTTAAATATTTTAAGGTCACCTGAGTTAACTCTGGTGACCTATTGCTATCCGTTTTTGTCCGTCTACATGCGAAGTGCTTCAAGTGTCCAGTGTTAACATTTGAATATTTTCAGCTTCTTCTTTGAAACCACAGAACCAATTTCAACAAAATTTGATATACAGCATCTGTTTGTGACCTGGAACAAAATCTGAATTTTATGGTCCCTGGGGCCTGAGGGGTGGGGTCAAAACCACTAAATTAATGAAATCTTTAAACATCTTCTCCTTTACTCCTGGACATCAAGCAGTCATACTGTTGGCATGAATGTAATGAGCGTTGAGTCCTCTACTTAAATTGTGAAATTCATGGCCCCAGGGTCTGGAGTTCTAGTACTAGGGCAGGGCTATATAGATAATATATTGGAAATTCATTTTTTCTTTGAAAATCTTCTTTGCTCCTGGGTATTAGATAAACTAACTGAGTACAAAGACGATTGAGAATTCCCTGCCAATAAGTCACACCCAACACCCACTGTGTGCTCCTTGTCATGATCAAGAAATAACAGAAACATTACACAATATAAATAACAAACATACTTGCTAGCTTAGATGTAAAAGACATATTTGTGAATTTAATAATCTTCATTTACTTCAAATATGTGTATATTTTTGTTGCTAACCCAATTTTTAAATTATAAAAAAAAATTCTCCGAATTCTTCACAAATTATTTCAAACTGGCAAAATCACAAAAATCTTAAATGTGGTTGTTTTACTTTTCATCATTATAAAGTATATTTATTTATAGATGCAGAACTTTAGCTCTCTGCTTGAGAAAATTTACACAGATACAGTACCGACCGGACACAGCCTAACACCAGAGCGAACCCGGAGCGGACCCCGGGTTCCCTTCCAGGGTTTGCTCGGGGTCCGTTTCAGGTTCGCTTTCAGAAATTTTGGGACCGCTCCGGGTGCCCTTTTAGTGCGCTCCGGGTTCGCTCAGGGTCAGCTCTGGGTCCGCTATAGCGAACCCGGCGTTCGCTTCCTGGGACCGCTTTACGCACTGATGCGTGAAACGGACCCCGCTTTAATCTCACCGCCAGGAAGCCCCGCCCCTTGTATATTCCAATACAGTAATGGTATTGTTGATCGATCGTTGTTGTTTATGCGACGATGCGGACATGTACACTGAACATGTAAACATTGATATAATGGAGAACATTGAAATTTTTTTTTTTAAATTCAACTGTACATTCGACATAGATTTACATGTACATGAATAATTGATTTCCTTGATTTCTCGATCCCGAGAAATTCAAACTAATTTTACAGCGGGTTATAAGGGATTTATTTTTTTTAAGTTATAACCAGAAAACAAAAAAGAGTGTTGAATTGATTTTCAGTATCAAATGGTGTACAAGTGAAACTGAATATTAACTATAAATACCTTTTAAATTCATGCTAATATAGTTAAAAAAAAACATTTGTTATTCCTTACGTTTTGCTAAATCGCAGTTTAAATGTTTGCTAAACACCTGAATTATGATATCGCATCTATAAATTACATGTAACCTTTTGTACATCTGGTATATTTTCATTTCATTTAATTTTTATTGTAGTTACACATTAAAAGTTCGTAAAAAATATGAAAGTAAATTAGACCCAATGCCTGCTGATTCTTAAAAAGATTATTCTTTCAAGTGTAACTCTACAGTTATTTTGCGTAACCAACTCTCGAACAACCCACATAACTATGTATTGCTTACGCCTTTATTAATTATTTTTTCCCAATAATTAGTCCTAAAACATTTTAAAATGACAGTATAATAGATCATAATTCATATGTTTAAATATCCCTTCTATATTATTTTTATCTGATTATTCTTTGTCAAGTATAGTTACGCCATTTTGAGAGGATGAAAAAATGTACGATTTACTAAATGTTGTGATTAATTAGCGTAATTAATTCGTTCAATTCTGTAAATTGCACTTCATCTGAGTATACCCTATAAACCAGACTTATTTCAGAGCGGTCCGGATTTCTTTCTTAAATAGTGTTTATATGTATTTCCAATTCAACATGTAAATATATAAATATGTAGTATTTATAGTGCTAGTTGTTTTGGTTTCCTTTGATCTTATGACTTTTTTCTTTGTCCTGCGAAAACTGTATGTGATTCTTAGTGCTTTATATAGATCTTCCTATACATGTATATTTAAAAAAAAATAGCTACAGCAGGCTTATAAAAAACAATTTGAGTACAATATTGGGAGGACAACTCATAGAAATTTAAGTAAGTCATCAGGCTTTATTATTAAAATCAAGTGTAATAGCGAGAGTTTAAAGTTATGATCTCTCTCTCTCTCTCGTCTTGATGTTTCCTGTATCTATTTATATTTAAATATTGGGCTAGTTAATATTCCTGAACTGTTAGTATCTTTAGAAAATGAAATTTTACAATAATTGTCGAAGGCCAACTATTTCTTTTCTCCTCTTTTTGTCAGAAAAATATTAATTGTAATATCAATTGATTTCCATTTTTATGCATTGACTGATGTTTTTACCCAATTTATTTACCAAATGGACTTTCAATACTGGTATAAAAAACTAAAGGAAATAAAAACGTACATTTTCATGTATAGTTCTATGTGGAAAATTAAAACATATAATTAATTAATTCATTTGCTTTAATAAAATAAAGGAAGTAAATATATAAATATAAAATACAACCAGGAGAATTAAAATAAATAATACCAAATCGTAATTTAATCATCATAATATATTTACACAGCACATTAACACGGTTTGTTTGTATGTAGTGTTTTGATTTATATAAATTTAAATCAACACGTTTGATCTTATATCCCAATCGACAGATCAATATGCTATTTTGATTGGTTGACGCGCTGATTGGTTAATCGTTAATCCTGATTGACAGCTCTGTAAAGAAATAACGAACCCGCGTTCGCTCGCTGGGACCGCTACTGAAGTTAGGGTTCGCTCTCTGGGTCCGCCTTGGGTTCGCTCGGGGTCCGCTACGGGTTCGCTTTGGGTCCGCTCTGGGTTCGCTCAGGGTCAGCCCTAGCGGACCCCGAGTGAACCTGGAGCGGACCCAGACAGAGAATCCGGGTCCGCTCCGGGTTCACTTTCTGTTAGGTTGTGTCCGGTCGGTATTGTAAATGAGAGAAGTTCAGATAACAGATAAATATTAAATAGACAAATTTCACATTATTAAGAGTTATCTGTTGTTGCCATAATTAATCCTTATTTTTCCCAGTTTGTCCTTTGCAAGTTTGGACCTAAATTTTTTTAATTTTTGAAAATGGCATGATTGTAATCAGCAGTGAGCCCTCTAACAAAGTTGTGCAATTCAAGGCCCCAGGGTCAGGGGTTCTGGTGTTAGGGCATGGCTATAAAGATCATATTGTAAAAGTGCAATATTTCTTCGAAAATCTTCTTAGCCCTTTGGTATTAAACAAACTAGCTAAGTACATTGTATATAGTTATGATAAACATAAGTGCCTCGATCTTCAAAAATGTTGAATATTGTGGCCCCAGTTTCAGGGGCTCAGGTTTTAAGGCAGGGCTCTTTTAATTATATAGTGAAAATGCATTAGTTCTTTAAAAATATTCTTCTGTTCTCTTTCGTTTTAAATAAACTCACTAAATACATACCCCAGTAGTTATGATGAGCAAGAGTGTCCATTTCAAAATTATGAAATTCATGGACCCTTGGTCTTTGGTTCTAGTGATTATATAGTGTTCCTGGGTATTCTGTGAATCATCTAAGTTCATATTTATAATATTTATGATGAAGATAGGTGCATCTTCCAAAATGATTAATTTCAGGGCTCTCATTTCGGGGGGGGGGGGGGGGGGTTGATTACATATTCTGAATATAAATTAATTTTTTGAAAAATGTCATCTATTTTTAAATGTCAAGTTGAAGGCCTCAGCAAGTGTTGTCTTCTTTTCAGGCAAAAGATTTTGCACAAATTCTGCTTTTTATGAAGACAAAAATAGGTGTGCTAATAGTGGAACACAATTGTTACCCATGGGAATTTCAATAGATTGTCGAAAGACTTGCTGGTCTCCAAAAATCACATAGATATTGGCAATCAGAAACTCGAGCATATTTTTGATGTCAACTTCAGAGCACATGTGTTTGCAATCAAAATGTCTTTTAACAAAAGAATAATGCAAATGACCAATGACCAGTTAAGTGAATTTACTGACTGATGACCAGTTAAGTAAATTTACAAGTTCCATTTTTAGGTCACCTGAGTAAACTCAGGTGACCTATTGCTATCACTTTTCGTCCGTCGTTCGTTTATACATTTGAACATTTTCAGCTTCTTTTCTGAAACCACAGAATCAATTTCAACCAAATTTGGCATATAGCATCTACATGTTTGTTTGAAGGGGAACAAAAATTGTGAATTTCATTGTTCCTTCCCCCTTGGGGCATGGGGGATGGGGCAAAAACCACTAAAATTAGTGCAATCTTTAAAAATCTTCATCTTTACTCCTGAACATCAAGCAGTCAAACTGTTATGATTGTAATCAGCATTGAGTCCTCTGTCAAAATTGTGAAATTCAGGGGTTCTGGTGTTAGGGCAGGGCTCTATTGATTATATAGTGAAAATGCATAGGTTCTTTGAAAATCTTCTTCTCTGCTACTGGGTATTAAATAAACTATTTAAGTACAATGTAATAATGAAAAAGAGTGTCTCTACCAAAATTGTGAATTTTATGGCCCCAGGGTCAGGAATTATGGTGTTAGGGTGGGGCTGTATTGATTATGTAGTGAAAATGCATTATTTCTTTGAAAATCTTCTTCTCTGTTCCTGAGTATAAAATAAACTAATAAAGTATATATACTTGTCAAAATTTCTAAGTCCACACTTTTATTTTTTAAAAAAAGCAAAAACCTTAACTTCAATTTACTAGTTACTTACAATTTTGCCTTTAATTAGCAATACTTACCTGTAAGGGCCAAAAACATTGTAATCGAATGTGTACTTACTCGACCGTGACCGTTTTTGTTAAAAAGCATGAAGTTCTAGTTCCATATGTTTTGCGGGTGTATTCTTCATTTTTGTTACTTCCATGTGTTCTCCATGTTTAATTGATAAAGAAAAAACTGAAAAAAAGTTTGACTAAAATGCAGTGTATGTCCACAAAACAATGTGAAAGTAATGTTGAAATGGCCCAAGCTGGTCATAGTTAACAAAAGTTATGTTTCCTTTCACTGTATGACTTTATTTTAATTAAAACCTTTATAATTAACGCCTGGAAAAACTACAAAGCATACCTGAATTCCTTTTAATCGTTAGAAATAGCTAAATTTTTAACAAACACAACAAATCTATTCTAGAGTTTATCCGGAAAAATCAATGTAACCGGAACCGGAAGTGCTCTCCCCTCATTGTCAAACTTGAGGAGTGGGGGATATATATACATGTAAGAAGACGTTATGTAACTCTTGTTGACAAGGCACAGACACTTTCGATAAGCCCCCTTGTCATCATTAATCTCAACCCTAATTAGCAAGTATGGAAGAAGATAGACCGGAGTGTGAAACAGATTTCCAGCAGCAGAATATAGCAGAACTAGAGGACGACCTAGTCTCCATATGGAAAAACATTCAATAAAAGGATTTTTCTTAAATTATGAGAACTCTTTGAGGAACGGTTTTCTTGCTGAGAATACGTTTAAATGGAGAATAATGCAGTAGTTAACGTTGTGAATTTTTAATTCTAGGGTGCCTTAACGTTACTGCTTATTGTGTTAAAGCGCTTCAATAAAATAAATCAAGTGAGAAAAAATGTTTTTGCTACTTTATTATCCTGTATACTTATTAAATTATATTGTTAAAATAATTCAATATAAGAGCGGTGTAAAGCAAAAACTTCCCTGGGGACTTAGAAATTTTGACTAGTATAGTTATGATGAGCAAGAGTGTCTCTACAAAAATTGTTAATTTTATGGCCCCTGGGTCAGGGATTCTGGTGTTAGGGCGGGGCTCTATTGACTATATACTGTGGTTTCATCAATATTCATTTAGCACCAATTTTCGTTGATTTTGTTGTTGAGCCGACCCACATCGTCGCAAACCACGGCCAAAATGTACGATGCTCTCCATTCTGGCCGTGGTTGAATGAGGAGAGAATTCTTCATAGCTCATTAAAATATTGACCATGCGAGTAAAGCATAGTCGGATGATGAACTTTGTCGCGACCTTTCAATATGCTATCGCAGTAAAGGAAATATTTCTTGTGTACTGTTCACGTCAGTTGTTGATTTAATTGCGATGGAAACAAAACTTGTCAATGATTGAATATGACATATCACGAATTCAAATTTCATTGAAATACGAAATTTGACATCCATTTGTATTGGCAATGATTTTTTCCACAAAATTACTTATCCTCAAAAATGTCTGTTTTCCAAAATCCACAAAAATTGATGTCAACTAAAATCGATGAAACCACAGTAGTAAAAATGCATTAAATCTTTGAAAATCTTCTTTTCTTGTCCTAGGTATTAAGTAAACTAACTATAAGTACATAGTTCTGATGAGCAAGAGTGCCTCTACCAAAATTGTGAATTTTGTGGCCCCAGGGTCAGGGGTTCTGGTGTTAAGGCGGGACTTTATTTAATATTGATTATATAGTAAAAAGGTATTTATTCTTTGAAAAGCTTCTTCTCTAATTAAACTAATTAAGGACATAGTTATGATGAACAAGAATGCTTCTACCAAAATTGTGAATTTTATGACACCATGGTTAGGGGTTATTGTGTTAGGGTGTAGCTCTATATTAATGATTATATAGTGATAATACATTACATCTATGAAAATCTTTTTCTCTACGCCCGGGTAATAAGCAGATGAATTATTTATATAGTTATGATGTGCAAGGGCTCTTCTTATAGAATTAAGAATTTCAAGGCCCCTGGGTCAGGGATACCAAAGGGGGGGGGGTTCTACTTATATACTGAAAATGAATTGTTTGAAATCTGCTCCTTGGTATTAATCAAACATTTTTGATAAGCAAGTGTGCCTTTTCAAAAATTATGCAATGTGTAGACCTAGGGTCAGGGGTTCATGTATGATACGGGCACTCCTGATTATTGCTGAATATTACTGATTAGTTGACATGCATTTTTGTTCCCCTACCCTGATTATGGGTATTAAATAAACAAACTAAACAATTGCTTAATGTACAGTTAATTCTCGATAAACCGCCTCCTTTTGTAATTTAGAAATCATGGCGGTACATGTATAACGAATTTGGCGATGATTTGAATTTCCCATATTTTAGGAAACAAGAAGTAGAGTTACCATTCTTAGGAATACCAAAAAGCGTTTCTATTCTTATGAGTACATACATGTATACAAAACATATTTCTAAATTTTAGAATACTTAGCTTCAAGTATTTTTTTTTTTATGTACAATTTCTTTAAAACAAAATGTGCATTTATGAAATAAAGACATGTACATGTGCATTTATGTACATGTAAATCGGCACGTCCGATATTGAAAAAAAAAACATGCTGGGTCGATCGCCGTGATATATTGCTGACCGTACGTAAAATAGTTTATTGAAAAAATTATTGCTTATGGCATCATTGTTCGTGAAACATTCACAATTTATACCATATAATTTTTTTAAGCAAACTTTGCATTGTTTAAATCAGAGATCATCAAAATAATATCGTATTCAGCGTACTTTCACAACTACCGATTTGGTGGCGAAGCCGTGACTAAATGATTTTTTAAACAAAACAACAGAACAAAATCATTGTAACAGTTCATATTAAATTTTTTTTTCATTTAATTCTATGAAAATTTAATTATTTGATTGCGTGTACCTTGTCTACCTTTGCATGCTTTACAACAGGGATAGCGTCAACCAATTAGCCGCGCTTCACTGACCACACGCACCTGTGGCGGTATATTGAGATAATTGACACTTAAAAATGGACAGGGTGGCGGATGGCGGCATGTTAATTTTATATAGCAGGAAAAACGTTCTTGGGAAATTGTGGCGGTATTGCGAAAATGGCGATGAATGGAATGGCGATAATTCGAGAATTGACTGTATAGATATGATTAGCAATGGTGCCTCTTTCATAATTGTGAATGCCTTAGCTTAAAACATGAACCAAAGTCAATCATTTGAAAGTTGTTGCATGATGCTCAGGTGATTTATAAGGCCCATGGGTCTCTTCTTTTTGAAAAAGCAGCTATCAATGATATAAAAAAGCCTGGACTTTCATTTATCGTGGGGATGGTTTGTGTATAAAGTTGAAAAGTCTAAGAATTAGATGTGTTATCTTGTCAGTGTTTATATCATTATTGACCTGTAAAGTTTAATCTAAAACAGTTAAAATAAACTGAGTGATGATAGAAATTCCCAAAATTTCTACAATTAAATTTTAAGAAAATCTACCTGATTGATATGTATTGGAAGTAAAATTTTCCATATAATACTTTCTTGAATATTTATACATGACTAAATATTGATGTATTGACCCAGCCCTTGTGTTGCAAATACTTTTACTTTTTATGCCCCCCTTCGAAGAAGGGAGGGCATATTGCTTTGCTGCGGTCTGTCGGTCGGTCGGTTGGTCTGTCGGTCCATTTAGTTTCTGCTCATTTTCTTCATAACCGTTGCACATACTGAAATGAAATTTGGTATACAAGTATATCACATGAATATCTAGGTCAAGTTTTGTTTTGGGTAAGGTCGCACCATAATTGACAGAGTTATGCCCCTTGGACTTAAAAAAATTCCAATTGTTTGCAGTTTCCGCTCATTTTCTTTGGAGAGGTTGCACATATTGAAATGGAATTTAGTATACAGATTAGTCAGAAGAATATCTAGGTCAAGTTCTGTTTTGGGTACGATCGCACCATAATTGACAGAGTTATGCCCCTTGGACTTAGAAAAATTCCAATTATTTGCAGTTTCCGCTCATTTTCTTTGGAGAAGTTGCACATATTAAAATGGAATTTAGTATACAGATTAGTCAGATGAATATCTAGGTCAAGTTTTGTTTTGGGTATGATTGCACCATAATTGACAGAGTTATGCCCCTTGGACTTAGAAAAATTCCATATTTTTGCACTTTCCGTTCATTTTCTTTGGAGAGGTTGCACATATTGAAATGGAATTTAGTATACAGATTAGTCAGATGAATATCTTGGTCAAGTTCTGTTTTGGGTATGATCACACCATTTTTGACAGAGTTATGCCCCTTGGACTTAGAAAAATTCCATATTTTTGCACTTTCCATTCATTTGCTAATTGCAGAAGTTGCACACAATGAAATGGAATTTAGTATACAGATTAGTCAGATGAATATCTTGGTCAAGTTCTGTTTTGGGTATGATCATATAATCACACCATTTTTGACAGAGTTATGCCCTTTTGGACTTAGAAAAATTCCAATTTGTGGGGGAGGGGGGCATAAGTGTTTTACAAACATCTCTTGTTGATATATAAATGGAATTTCATTCGTTTCATTTTTTTTCAGAGCTTCATCAAACTGGATATCCTTCCCAAAGTCCTCAACAGACATCTCCTTTTTATCCTGATCCCAGCAGTCCGCAAGATCACTTTCAAGCACAGTCTGTTCCACCTCTGCCATATCTTAATCCAAACTGTCAGCAAAATCCCATACAAGCACAATCTGTTTTTCCTGCGCCATATCCCTATCCCAACAGTCAGCAAAATCCTTTTTCACCACATCTTCCACTGAATCCACCACAATCTTTGGAACAGTTATTTCAACAAAATCCACAATTTGTAGAGGAGTTATTTCAACAAAATCCACAATTTATAAAAGAGTACTTTCTACAAAATCCACAATTTATGGAAAAGGTATTTCGACAACATCCACAATTTATGGAACATGTCTTTAGACAACATCCACAATTTATGGAGCAGGTTTTTCAACAACATCCACAATTCATGGAGCAGGTTTTTCAACAACATCCACAATTTACAGAGCATGTCCTTTGGCAATATCCACAATTTATGGCGCAGGTCTTTCAATATGATCCACATTTTATGGAGCATGTCTTTCGACAACATCCACAATTTATGGAGTGGTTCTCTCAACAACATCCACAATTCATGGAGCAGGTCTTTCAACAACATCCACAATTCATGGAGCAGGTTTATCAACAACATCCACAATTTATGGAGCGGTTCTCTCAACAGCATCCACAATTCATGGAACAGTTCTTTCGACAACAGGCACATAATCCTCAATTCATTGCACCACAATCATTTCCTCAAAATTCACATCAGTCTGTGGAGCAATACTCTCAACATCATTCGGCAGATCCTCAACAATTTCAGAGTAATTCTCAACATTACCCTTCCCCTTATGGTGAGTATTTTTTTTATAAACAAAGGAATTTTCTTCGTCAATTAATATTGAGATTAAAAGTTGAGATTTTGCAAAAAATATACATAACTGAGTAAGCTTCATAACAAAAATACTTAAAGATATAGCATTATGTACCAGTAGTGTATAAATGATCACTGTAGATCAGCTACTATTAATTTGTTATGAAAGGAAAATACTATAAAATATAATTATAATTAACATTGATAAGGTTGCACAGCCTTTAATCTTTTTGAACAATATGCATGAGGAATGTTAATTTTTAATAAATTATATTTTCAGATGATCCAAAATTAACAAAACCTCTGAGGTTAAACATACAGGAGGGTAAAAATGAACCCAGAGAAATGGATATACATTGCCATGGTTATGAATTTTTCCAATGGGCCTTTTGCATATCAAATAATACTTGTCTTGAATCAATGAAGAAATTTTTATATTCTAATGGGATTGGTCTAGCTATCCCCCAGAACAAGGCACCACTGTTTATGTTTCCTCTCTCATGTAATATAAATCTGCTGGTAAATGCTTTTAGAGATACAAGTCAAAGACACGGAGTCGTATGTGAACCTCTTATCTGGGATTTTTCAAAAAGTGAAGAGGATGTTCAAGTTTTTTGTATTAACTTTGTAAAAAACGAAAGACCTGAAGGAATTTTACTTCTCTGGGAATTAAAACAGGGAATATATGTAGTTCAGCTTTGTGGCATCAAGGCAGCAGTTGACCTTTGGAGACCTTCTATAGATGCAGAAATTCAGAAGGAGAAGCAAAAGCATGTTTTACCTGAGCCTGAACCATTTAAAATTAGCAGTTTTGAAACTAAGATTCTGCATGAAATGAAAACCAAGCTTGAAGCAGAATTTCAAGTCCAAATCAGTTTTGAGTCGGATAAAATGAAAATTACTCCAACCACTCAGGAAAGTATTGATAGTGTATTTAAAAGAATTCATGAGATGCTTAAAAGTTGCAGGATGTTGCCATTTTCATTCCGGTACTTTCTTCTACATCAGGAAAGGGCAAAGTTGCATATAGAAAATGAAATTGAAAAATTGTACAGCCTTAAAGTTCACTTGTTAGTGTTTGAGGAAGATGGTGTGCCTCACCTGTTAGCCTTTGAGGAAAATGGAAAAGAGTTAGGAGAAATTGAAAAGGCAGTGAGTAGATTGCTATTTCTGATTCCTTCTGAAGATACTCTTTGTCAGCAGATTTTTAGTACAGAGAGTGGAAAGGCATTATTTTCACAAATTGTAGAAGAAAATGAAGGAAAACTTAGAATGATATATGATGAAAGACAACAAATGTGTTGTGTGGGAACAATAGATATAGAAGAAAAGATCAAGAAAAGGTTGTTATCTTCTCTGACATCTCAAGAATTTGTAGAGCTTCCCTCTGAACAAGTGTGGAATTTTTGTAAAAAACATTGGCAATTTGAAGACATCCAGAAAAACTTTAACTGTGAAGTAAATCTTGCACAAGATGTTGAACTTCCATGGGCAATAGAAATTAAAGGACAAACGGAAAATGTCTCATGTTGTCACCAACGCATTGCAATGGAAGTTAAAAAGATTGATACAAAACAAATTCAATGTCTTAATTTCACAAATGGCTCTGACGCTCATCTGATTGAAAAATTGAATGAAGAAAAAAGGTGCTTAATTGACTTAAGAACAAGGCAACCAATTCCCTGGAAAAAATGGATTGAAGGGAGAGGTTTGGAAAGAAGTTTAACTTACTCTATCAGCTTTGATACCATTACAGTAATAAAAGAAGATGATCTCAAAATTACTCTTTTGACAGAGGAGCAAAGTGGAGGTAAGATATAATGCCATCTTTCAGATTTGTTGCATTAATTGCTAAATTAACTTTTTAGCTCACCTGAGCCAGGAAAGATGGAGCTCAAGTGGAAGCATCTTCAGGTATTGTAGATTCAAGTTTGTTCAAATCATGACCCCCGGGGCAAGGGTGGGGCCAAAATGCCTGATCAAAGGTTTACTAAGGAGTATATAGGAAAAATCTTTAAAAAATCTTCTTCTCCAGAACCACTGAGCCAGGGAAGATGAAACTTATATGGAAGCATTATCAGGTAGTGTAGATTCGAGTTTGTTCAAATCATGACCCCTGGGGGTAGTGTGGGGCCACAATGGCTGTTCAAATTTAACATCGGAATATATAAGAAATTTAAAAAAAAAAAAAAAAAACATTGTCCACAACCATTGGACCAGGAAAGATGAAACTCATGTGGAAGCATCCTCAGGTAGCATAGATTCAAATCATGACCAGGGGGGGGAGATCTGGGCTGATCAAAATTTTACTTAGGAATATATAGGAAACATTTTTAAAATCTTTATCCCAAAATAATTGGGCCAGTAAAAATGAAACTAATGTGAAAGCATCCTCAGGTAATGTAGATTCTAAATTGTTATAATTATGAGCCCCGGGGTAAGGGCAGGCCACAATGGCTGATCAAAGCTTTACATAGGAATACGAGGGTTGTCCCGTAAAATCGTGGACAAGTTGTCTAGTTTGAAAAATAATCATCACTGCGTTCTGAAATTTTCACCACTTTTTAGTGGATAAATTATGAATATACATAACAAATTTCAAATAGATATATGCATAGGTAAACAAATTGTGATATTTTATGTTATGAACTGTATCGCCCTACGGCGCACGGATGATAACGTCAAAGTGTCTAAAACAGCGTCACGTTTCATCTTTGCTAAACTTAAAGTTGGATAAGCCCCACTTAAATTTAGAAATTTTATTGATTTACATATGTGAGTATCTATAACCAGTGAAGAAACCAATAAGGCACACTCATGCGATCTTCTGAATATTTATTAGCAAGTTACAGACAGTATTCTCACCATCATTCAACTAAAAGAGAATCTCACATCGACGGTCGACAGTGACAGTGTCCTTTGCTATAACAAATGGCAGTCTGTCCATATGTTTTGTACTATCTGGGGACTCGATCACGAAGACTTCACTGAGAAAACTTTCATTTCATTTATATACTAAAGATCTGGTGATATTTTTCATATTTTCTTTCTTTTGTATTCATTTAAAGTCTCTTAAGGCGTCATTACAACATCCTAATCTATCTGAACTGCTCTCCGGTGCGCCGTAACGTTATAAAAAGTCGCCATTTTTCGTGTATTGTGTTTATTACTTTCTCATTTCAAATGCTCGGGAAACTGCCAAAAATTAACCAAATGCCTTGAAATTTTTAAAAAGACGACAGAATTGATTAAGGAATGGAATTAGGATAATTTTCATCCTAATCTTATGTATTGAAAACTTTTCTTACGAATTAATTCTTATGTCTTCTCTAATATAACCTTGCTATTTTTACCGTGCGCCGTAGGACCGTACCTTGTGCACATTCAAGCAGAATAAAATCTTTATTTTTGAATATATATTATCAAAAACATTATGATTCACTTAAATATGATGAATAAACATTTACTGAAAATTTCAGCTTAGTGCGGCCATTACTTTTAGAGAAAAACGCTTTGTCCACGATTTTATGGGACAACCCTCGTACATAGGAAAAATCTTTTAAAAATTTTCTTCTCAAGATCAGCGAAGCTCAAAGCTATGATTGGTGATATTAATATGGAAACATCCTTAGTTAGAGTTAATTCAAGTTTGTTCAAATCATGACCCCTGGGTAAGGTGGGGCCATTATGGGCAATTAAATCTTTAGGCCAGGTAAAATTAATATTTAGATTCTCATCCTAATTTGCCAAAAAATTTGGGCGGGTGGGCGGATTTTATTTTTTATTTTTTTATAATTGTTAATTCATATATAGGCCTGAGTATCAACAAAACAATGGACGCCCCGTACACATTTTTTTCATTACCTTAATCCAAATATGAATAGATTTAATTCTTTTCATATTCTTTTAAATATTTAAAGAAAATTTTTGCTTTAAAAGTTAAATGTTTATTTTTTATTAACAAATTATCAAGTACACATTATACGGCACACCCTGAACAAAATGTGGCGGGGATACAGTACCAATAAACTGTGTATGCGCGCCTTCTTATTTTGTAAAATCTATATAAATGTTCTAATAATTATTCTACTGAAAAATTTAGGCCTGTCTACGATGTTGTAGATTTTTTTTATTTCAAAGCTAAGTCACACAGCTGGAGATCGTTATATATAACTTGACCAGGTGTCATTTTCCTTGTCTATTTTTACTTAGTTACAATCTCTCTACATACTTGCTCCTGCCAGTGATGGTATCTATATGTGTTTATGCTATATTTTCTTCTCTGCCTTCTCTATACTGACAAATTATCTTTTCCTTACACATTTAAACTGCTTTTATTGCCGATTTTTCTCCATTCTTCACATGGCGTTTTTGCTATAAACAGCGACACGCGATTTTTAATACAGACGGGAGATAACTCTTAAACTTTGACCCAAATTCTTACTGAATAAACATAATAATACATGAAAATGACCAAAATCAAAATAAAAAACATCGGGGCGGGACATTTTGAGAGGGGCAGGCAGGGATGAGAATCTATAAAGATTAATTTTATATGGCCTTACATAGAAATATTTAGGCAAAATCTTTAAAACACCTCAATTATAGCAAACTTATACATGTATGCGTTATTGATATGGTGACATTCTCAAGTAATTAAAAAAATACCCCCCCCCCCTTCCCAACAAGTAAACTTTTCAATATTGAGCATATTTGTGTTTTTAACTAGCCCATGTGCTCGGGTGAACGTTGTTTGATAAAAGTTTCCAAAATTTAGACTTCACCTATCTGGATACTTCTATGGAATATTCTTAATTTTTATTTTATTTTTTATTTTATTTTTATTTTATTTTTCTCTTTGAAATTCAATTTTAAAGATATATGGTTAGCTAGAAATAACTCATTCTCCTTAAGTCTTGCCATCTTGTGTACTTTTGAACATTAAAATTAGCTTTTCTTCAGAACTACAAAACTATATTGTAGGAACAATATCAAGTCAACTTCAACAATTGAAAATTGATTTGTTTTAATTATCAAGAGTCATGTATACCTGTTACCCTTTATTCTATTATGGAGTTAATAAAGAATCTTATTGACTCTCTTTTTTTAACATGGAAGAATTTTTTTTCAAATTAAAATGCTTATGTACGAAGCTTTAGTAATAGAATTTCTTTTTCTAATCCATTCAATATTATAAATTTTTTTTTGAAAAAAAAATTTCAGACTGTCTTCCTAATAATTTTAGAGTCTTGAGAGGGCAAGCCTGTGCAATTTAACATGCATTCTTTTAAATATGACCCTATATATTCACAGAGAAAATGCGAAAGGACTTACCTAAGATAAAATTATTTGTGAGAAAATATAAATGATATGTTTTGTTATTTATTTTGTAGCCACTAGTAAAGAAGACTGTCAGTATCTGCATGCTGATTGGGTGCAGGTGTTTGTCCCTCCCATGAGCAATACAAGGAAAAAGACGACTTTTTTCACAAAAATAACTAATATTTTGACTTTTAACAGTGAAAAAATGGGAAAGAGGAATATATTGATAGATTGCAAACAATTGCAGGAGGAAGAGTTGAGATATTTTATGAAATTAATGTGTGACATTTTAAATGAAAGGGTTGGCAAGGACCTAGAGATTTTGAAGTGTGAATTTCATGACACCAGACAGGAGATGTTCTGTTGGATGACCGAGATCATTGATAAACATCTAAGCAACAAGAATGTGAATGTGTTTGAGTGGAAAGGTAAAATTTAAATTTGAAATTTGATGGTGATATAACATTTTAATGATGACATATATTTGAAGTCTAATTTTTTTTTATTAGGAAGAACAATAGACATGGATGTTCAAGAGGGCCAGTTAGCACAGCAGCAGGTACTATTGCTAAAGAATTGGGCCTAAGATATATAGATATATTGGGCATGTTGAAAGTTGATCATTATAAAGGCATATAAATTGGCATTATCGCTGATGGTTTATACCCCCCCCCCTCCACCACCCCCACCACCCTCTACCACTACCACAAAAATAAAAAAGAGTTAATTCATATGCATAACATTGGAAATTAAGGGCTAATTTATGTATCTTCTCCTGGACCATTACAACAGTGTAGACATCAGGATGAGACTTAGCTGCTTGTATTTGTAGACTAAAAATTAGTCCTTATGACACTTCTTCTGTGCAAACTGGTTTGTAAGATTTCAATTTTTTTTTTGTATCAAATTATGATTGGACTTAGTGAAATGAGTCTTTTTTGTGATTCATTTCCCAAGCTGAAAATAAAGTGAATTACATAAAAAATACAATTGTTATGAAACAAGTGAGCCAAAATATGTCCAAATGATAGGTTGTTTTTGCAAATAGTATCATTATAAAGACTGCAATATTTACAAAATACTGTCTTTTATAAACAAGACTGTTGAAATCCTTGTAACATCAATTTATATGTTAGAAATATGGCTTGATTTAAAATCTATTCTAGCATAATCTTTAGTGGGCAATAAGCTCAGACACATTAACACCATATTTAAAGTTAATGTCCCAGATACTGTTTTGTCTGATATTGATATTAAAGCCTTGATACAGTGGTTGGATTCATATACAGTATAGGGGATTAATTTCATGGGTTGTAATATTCATGTTTTTCCTTATGTGACATGATTTCTGTTTCTTGAATATGCGAAATTGGTATTTATTAAATATATATATATATTGCATGTAGTTGAGCTCAACATTGTGCCTGGGTTGACAATGGTTTTGGAAGGGTGAAAATGTTCAATGTTAGTTCTGCGCCCAAGGCCATAGGCTGAGGGCAACAGTTTCTCAGGTCTTCCCCACTACCAAGGGGCAATAGTTTGATTGTTTCACTGTGTAGTCATGAAATAAGTGTTATATTACCTACTCTACTATAAAGTTAACTAAATTGACTAAAAACACACAAACAATCAATAAAGAGTTTTAACAACTGTTTATCCACATACCAGTCTATTTAAATTAGCTGACCACAGAATGTACAGATTAAATTGATATTCAATAATTTTAATTAATACTTAATAAATTGATTGTTTGTGTGTTTTATTCCAATTTTATTAATTGTATAGCAGGTAAATAGTAAAACAATGCAAAATGCCTAATTACATTTTATATAGTAGGCTAGGTAATAACATACATTGTACATATTATTTACAAAAACTTTGTGTATATGTTTATACTTTCCTCTTTTAGATTTATTTTGGCCAATTCAAGACATCAGAGGGCTCAACTCTTTCATGTGAAATTAAATCAAGTAATACTCTTTTCCTTTCAAGGGTTTTGATGTTCTGGTTAATAGTACATCACCTGATCTATACCTGAATGCAGGGTATGTCTCCAAGAAGATATTGGAAATGGCTGGTCCAGAAATTCAAGCTGAATGCAAGAAATATTACAAAGGTGGCATCAAAGTAGGAAAAGTAGCAATTACGAAAGGATATAATTTAAAATGCGAGGTTGTGTTTCATGGATGTTTGGATAAATATAACCCTGCTGCTCCTGGAAAACCACTTGAGGTAAAGACATTTATTTTAAATTGTTCAAAGATATCTTTTACTGTCTATCTTTTTTAATTATAGAAGTAGACAGTAAAAAATAAGTAAAGCTAGCCTGATAAAGAAAGTTAAGGAGACTTCTTTCCTCTGTCTTAGCTTTTTAGCACACCAGAGCAAAAGATTCAAGTGAGTTTTTCTGATCACAATTAGTCCATCGTTCATCTGTTAGTCCATCTGTGTAATTTTTTTTTCACATTTTCAACCTTCTCCAGAACCACATGGCCAATTTCAACAGAACCTCTCATGAAGCATCTTTTGGTAAAAGGGATTCAAGTTTGTTTAAAAGAAGGACTTTACCTTCTTTCATGGGAGATAATAAAGAATCTGTTAAGATTTTGGTGCTATCATTAAAAAGATTCTTCTCAAGAACCACTAGTAAAATGTGGCACAAAAGTACATGTGGACTACATTATTAAGATACAAATTTTATTGCATTATTTTTTATACCCCTCACAAACAAGGTTTAGGGGGTACTTCTGAATTAAATTTTGTTGCTGGTAAACTGGAGAGTTTTTGAAATTATCCATATACACCTGTAAATATTTCAAAATTCAAGTGAATTGGCACCTTCTCTGAAAAACCCAGTGGGGGTATTTGTCCCTATTGGACAGTTTTAGCTGATACTGAAGAACAATGTTGCCATGATTTCTAAAATATAAGAATTTCTGTGAAATTATTTTTTATACTCATCCAAAAGTTTTGGTCTGATTTCAATATATTTTGAAAAAAAGTAAACTTTTAGTGGGTAGATGATTCCATTCGTCATTTTTTATTTTGATGATTGGTTTTGCCATGGTTATTAAAAAATGAATTTCTATGAAATTCTTTCAAGAGGATTCAACTCCAACATCTTTAGTCAGATTACAATCAATCTTGGTACAAAAGGAGACTTAATCAACAATCATTATTTTTTATTGCTGTCATATAGGTTCACTTTTTACCTTTGTTATGATTAAAAACCAGTAGAGTTACAGTCTTGTCAAAGACTTTTTATTTCATGTTTGATATAAACTTCTTCCTTTAATTAGATTTACCCTCAGAATCTTTCATTTTGGAATTAGATAATTTTAGAATTGGTCCTGCTTTTAAAAGCATCAATTTAAACCTGACTTAATGAAAATTAATCTATTTTTGTGAAAAAATTTTGAAATGCAAATTGTACATAATTATCTTTCATTGACAGGGTGTGAGAATATTTGTAAGGAATTGCTTGAAGACTTCAGACAAATTGAAGATGGAATCCATAGCCTTCCCAGCGTTAGGCACTGGAAATCTTGGTTACAGCCGGGAAGCTATTGCAAATATTATTTTTGAAGAAGTTGAAAAATATCAAAAGGAATTCAAAGCAGGATCTCTAAGTCGAGTATGCTGTGTGATCCCCCAAGGGGACATTGATTCCATAAGGGTAAAATTCTTTTTTACAGTTTTCTGAATCTTGAATCAACTGTAGAGCATCATAAAGAAGAATTATGATTAGCATTTATATATTAATTTATGTATTTGGAATGCTCACCAGCCAATGGACTGTAAGAGACATGTTTTTAGCTTGTCTGCGCATTTTTTAACATTTTCAACTTCTTATCAAGACCAACTGGGCCAATTTCAAATGCAGTTGGTGCAAAAAATTCCTAGGGAAACAATAGGGAATCAAATTAGTTTTACAGGAAAAACTAAATTCTTCTCCAGAACAATTTGGAAAGAAAAGGTAAAAACTTGATAATATAGAAGTTTAAAATTTAATTAATATGAAAGCTTCGTGAGGAAGTGTAGATTTCTGTTTTTCTTTTTCTTCCTTCACTGAAAATATGGTGAAGAGCAACTGCCCTTAAGCTAGAGTTACTCATGTGAGAATTATGGCCTATGTGTTTTATTCTGATTGGTCATATGTGTGTCAGCTGCATTGAAAAGTGATGCTAAAAGATCACTTTGGTCTGAAGATCCGTCAGAATAATGTGAATAGGAGGTAAGGGTCCTTATCAATTTTTAAACACTGGGAAGAATGGGGCCGCAAAGGGCATTTAAGGATATCCAATCTTCAGCCAGGAAGTATAACTCCAAAAATTATTATTTAATTTGAAATGCATCCAAATGAAGCTTGAAAATGAAATTTTTTCTTGCAACAATTTTCATTTAATTCATCTTTATATGATTCTAGGTTTTTGGAAGTCTTAGAGAAGGTCCTATAAAAATTGACATTTACATTTAAAATTTAACTTAAGAATTCGTAGGAACAAATTGTAAGATATTCTTTTTAAGGACAGCTAACAACTGCAGTCTTGATAGTCATATTTATATGAAAGCATATTAAGTGTAGATTCAACTTTGTTCAAATTATGAATCCATGAACCCCAGGGGTAAGGTGGCACCCCAATAGAATTTAATATTATACACTGTGGTTTCATCAATTTTTGTTGCCATCAGTTTTCATGGATTTTGTAAAAAAAACTTGCTTGAAGTGAATTTTCAGTTATTTAACAATAATTTTAATCAAGTGAGTTTATCATTTGTATAGACGACTAAAAAGGGTTGGGAGATGGATATTAAAATATACAGATCAGTTAAATAATATGTCTAGTATTAGAAGCTGAGAAGTATTTGATTGACCGATGCTAAAAAGTGGAGAAATTCTCCCCAAAAGAGCGCAAAAAATATTGCGCTGTAAATTGCACCTTTTTTGCACTACGGGATCTGTAGCGTTATGGTCAAAGACAAATTATCTAAACCATAACGCTACAGATTTACAGCTAGGCAAACTGCAGTGATTATTTGCCATGTTTGATAAATTGCAGCTATTGATTATTTTTAACATGGAAAAACTTAATAATGGGAAATTATGCAATAAATTGGTTAATATTTGCAATATTGAGTAAATGTGAAGTAAAATTGAGTTTTCATGTTTTTTAATTGTACATGTTATATAAAAAGAGATGAGTTAGACTTATAACACATTAATAAGAAAATAAAAGAAATTCTGAAAGACATTTTCAGTAACCTAAAATTATTTACTATGAGTACAGATTATATTCTTTTTTAGGATTTTCAGAAGAGACTCTCAATATGGAAGAAAGGTAATTTCTAAACAATAGATTCAGATTGTTTTTTGTTTGTCTAACTGTTTATATTCACAAATTTTCTTTCTTTCACACATGAATATTATCATGTACAAAAACAAAATTAATTTTCTATTCCATTACTTTATGAGAAATATTAGTTAAAATGTTTTAGGGAGGTCTGCGGAACAACTTATTATTTAGTTATAATAACTGACATTCATTGACTACTTTATGCAATACACATTGCTAAGATTGTGAAAGACGACACATCAATATGGTCTAAATAATTCCTTCTAAAGTCAAATATTCATTTCATCTGATAAGGTCTAATACATGTATGTGTGTCTGATCCGAAAAAGTTTTGATGATGTTAATGATTTATTTGAGAATGTTTTGGCATTTCTTTAATCTTTGCAATAATTGTTACAGTAGTAGAATATAAACTAGTGGGTAAAATGAGCACTTATTATGCTTCTTTTAAAATATGTTTACTTTATAAAGTTTAGAAGGTAAAATGACTTATTTTCATAGTCTGAAAATGTCCACGCACAGAAAGGTATATACAGTGGTATAGTTTTTGCTATCCATCCTTGAAAGATTTTCATGCAATTTTTGCAGCGTGAGCTATTATATGTGTTTGTTATTTCTGACTTTGACATTTCCTATGATCTTGATGTCACTTTTCCTCATTTCTTGTACTGTTTTTCCCTGTCATGAATTTCAGTCTGTAAAGGATTAATTAATTGCTATTAAACTAGATAAAAAAATCTCAATTCTATTTGCCTAATGGTCATATTTCAAGCATGCCTAGGACATCACTTATATAAAATTGCTAGAACAGAGTTATTTTAAAAATGCTTAAATGATAAATGAACCACATACCATGGAGCTGCAAAAATGAAACACTTTCCATTTTTTTCAATCAGACCCCCCCCCCCAAGTGCTAATATATTGCAGAACCATTACACCATGCTACAGAATAATTAACAGTCCAAAAAACTAGGTACATTTCTTGTTACAATTAACAAACTAATTTTGGAAGGGGCATGTAGGGCATATTTCTTCCTCATTTAACAAGTGACATTTTGTGTGAAGGTGATCTGGTTTTAAGAATAATTGTAAAATAAGCATTTTGAATCAACCAATTTATCCAGTGAATGTTTTTGACATATATGCTACCTGCTAAAATAGTGAAAAATAAAATGAATTTTATAAGTAAAACAAAATTATATGTCATAAAAATCAATGGAAGAGTTATATGTTTCTCTGTACATGTAAGATTAAATTTGTGTGTCTTTGATTTCATAATGAGAATCATATTTACTTCTCTTTTAGATCACCAGAAAGAGGTGTATCAAGAACTGGTAGTTACAACAGATGATCCAAAAGTTCTTGAAGAGATCTACCAAGAGGTCCAAAACCTGCAGGGCCCTAAACTAGTAACTATATTTTTTCCCCTTAAATATTATAAAAATGTCCATGAATTGCATAAATCATGGTAGATATTTATATTTATATTCATTTTATTTTTGGTGATAGAGATATTTGGGCTTTTCAAATTCAAAACCTGGACACTATCATTCTCTCTGCAATATCAAAGGTTCCCTATCTCTTATATGCAGTTCCTCCTATAACAATGAATAAGATTTAATGAGACTCTTACAAAACCTTTATTGCATTTTGCAATTACATGTAATTACCCTCAAATTTATTCTAATCTGAAAGAAATTGGGATTCCTATAATTAAAAAACATAATCAAGTGAAGTGCAGGGGGATGGATGAGTTTGCTTTGATGTAGGCATAATTTGTTTTATCTGTTGATTTTTTTTTACAATACTCATTTTAAAAAGTCGCAGGATATTGAAATCACTTTGCAGTATAATTTTTTTCCCTATAAACTTGTGATTCATTGATTAAATCTGCAGATATTGACATTTGATTTGTAATGGAATGAATATGAAAATTTCACGTTTAATGGAATATGATTGATTTGATTTTATGTAAATTGTTAAACATCTCTTTCGTAAATTTTTCAATCATATGAAGATGCCACCACTTGCTATTTGAGTGCTGCAAATGTTGCACTGTTACAACGCACTTTGAAAAATTACGCACTTTGAAAAAAATTTCAAAGTGCGTTAAGTTTTGGGACCAGGTTAACGCACTTTGAAAATTTTTTTCAAAGTGCGTTGAATTTGGGACCAAATCAACGCACTTTGAATAAATTTTTCAAAGTGCGTTAAAACTGTACATCATAATTTTACACCATGTAAACATTTAACGCACTTTGAAAAAATTATCATGAAACAAAAGGAATTAGACTTATATTTTAGAAAAAGACAACAGTATTATCCCCTCGCAACGTGTGATGGGATATAGTGATGCAATTATAAGTGTTATTATATGTGTATGTTAGTTTTTTCTGTGTGGAATTGACGTAATTTGTATCGGGATCGTTGTCAAAATATTTATTGAACATGCTTTTTTGGGAAGGAATGCTCCGCTTTGCGGTGCCCTTACTTTGGATGTGTATCTTTCAAACAAACTGATGGATTGAAGAAAACCAAGAAACGGAAAACGAAGAAAAGACTGGATGAATTAAGGTCTATCAGCTCAACTCTTTATCATTCCCAACCAGATATATCTATTTCTATAACTCGTTACCTTAAGTGTCAATGATATTTGAAAAAAAGAGCATTCTAAACACAGTATAAGCACTGTACAAGGAAGTCTGTAGTAAATCAAAATTTTGTTCTTTTAAATCTCAAAATCTATTTATTTTCATTTTCAGGAAAATTAGAATATTAATTACTAGCTGTAAATTCCTTATTTTTGGCGAGTGTTTTTTTTTTTATCGCGAACTGGCTCTCAAACGTCAATCGCTAGAATTATAATTCGTGAGTTAATGAACAGATTTTACATAGCACCTGAAAAATAAAAGCGAGTAATATTTTTTTGCGAGTGATACTTCTCGCCAAATTACGCAGAAATTAATACCTCGCTTATATTAAGGAATCTACAGTACCTGTCTGCTTTTTGATGTTAATTTGATACCATATCTGATAATCTCTCTGTTAAACTCCAGGTATTTAAAAACACAAGTTTTGCCAAAATTATAGAGTTATTTCTCTTTGGTATCCCAAATAAGTAAGGTTTTATGAAAATTCATATAAATATCTATAAATCTTTTTAGAATCATTCCAATATGATAACTTTTGAGAATTGAGATAGGCGGAAGAACAATACTATCGTTCGTAGTTCTGTACGACATTGAATGTTGACCTTTTGACCCGAAATTCAAAAGGGGTCTTCCTAAGGCCACAGGGATTCTGTTAAGTTAAATTTCAATGCAAATGTTCAAAGGGTTGGCGAGATATCGAGTGGAAACGAAAGCGTTACAGAAAGATGGATGGACGGACAGCTAGACGGACGGACTGACAGATAGACCCAAATTAATATCTCCCACTTTTCAAGCGGGGGACAAAAAGTATCAAATCAGGTTTAAATGATAATTTATCATACCTAAGATTTGTAGGAATATTGACTAAGCCATGCAGAATTTTTTTTTCAAAGTGCGTTAATATGGTCGATATTAACGCACTTTGAAAAAAAAAATATTTTTTCAAAGTGCGTTAACCTGGTCCCAAAATTTAACGCACTTTGAAAAATTTTTTCAAAGTGCGTAATTTTTTCAAGTGCGTTGCCACATTGCACTATAGTCGGCAATTGCAGCCACTGAAAAGTGAGAGGTCTTTTTGTGGCACCTACTGCAACATGGTACCTCAGTTTAAGGATCAACTCCTTACCTTGCAACTTGAGAGCAGACGCTTTAACCACTGAGCCACATGGTCAACCATTTCATGTAATATTAACAAGGGTTAATTTATTTCTTGCAGACTGAACCACCAGATACAGAAATATCTAAAACAGACAGACTTGGTGTAACACCAATAGAAGGTATACATATATTTCTTAGAGTATTTGAGCAGCTAGGTCTCCCTTACAAATTACCATAGATAAGCCTTATAGTGACCAAATTTCCATGGATGATACATCTAAGGATGCACACTAACAGACTTGCCTCTGATGCTTGATCGGACTGACATTTTCTGGATGAGGGACCAATTTTTGGAGTAAGTTCATTCCAGTGCAACTTCAAACCATACTTGAACCAAACCATAACCAGACTTGCCTTTTGTGCTGGATTTGACCTAATGTTTTGATCTGACAAGTTAAAAGTTTGGAGCAGGTACTAATATTTGAAATTTCACCGTGTATTATTGAGAACCAAGAAAGTTGTAGGCATTTAAAGTTTTAGCCAATCAGATTGCAGCACACGTGCATGTGCATGCGTTCATGATTATTCTTATATATACTGCTGTAGATCTTCATAATGTAAGACTATGTTAAAAATTTCAAAGGATTTTGTCAGAAAACAAAGTAGATATTTAGATTTTTAGTTTCAGCCAATCACAGCGAAGGGCACCTGCATGCGCGTGAGATCTTGCTATTTTGACCAAGTTATCATGTCTATACTACTATTATATCCTTATATTATGAGTTTCAAAGCATTTCATCCAATATTTAAAAAAGTTATGGCTAAATCTATTATATTGGTCATTTCACGTGTTACACGTGCGCGCACCTGCACGCACGTGTGCGCAAAATGACCTTCGTTCCGCACATCTACATAACATACCTAGTGACCCTAAAAAGGTTTCACCTAGATCGGATGAGTAGTTTACGAGAACACTCGCGGACAAAAAAGTACCAGAGAACAAAGAAAAAATTCAGAAAAAGTAAAAATTATGTTCTCAAACTTCGTTTGGGGAACATAATTAATACTGTATACAGGGTTATTTTTGCCCCATGTTACACATGTATTTTCCCCCTTTTGTGCTTGCGGACAAATTAGCCCTGTTTTAAATTCCCCCAGTCATAGAAGTTCTGTTTAAAAAATTATGCTGCGTAATTTGAGTTAGCCCCGTTTTAAATTCTCCCTATCAAGAAGAGGATGAAAGGGGTGAAATAAAACAAGGGCGGAAATTTCCCTGTATACAACTTTTTTCATTACCATTGAACTATGAGTAGTCAGGATCAGAAAATATCTGGTTTTTACACCAAAAAAATTATATAAAGAACTCAATTTTAAATGCTACTCTTTAATTTGACATTCAAACTTAATTTTTCACTAACTTTTCTTATCATTTCCTTTATGAGTCAGATATCATAATTGACTTTAAACCTTTCATATGTTTTTGCTAGGTGCTGTTAAAAATGTTTCCAAAAATATGGAACTGGAGTCAAGGTGAGAATGTCCTTTTTCCAAAGATTTTAATTAATTTCCATCAGTTCATTGAAAAAATTAATGTTTTCAATATAAGATGAGTTGATCCTGTAAAAAAGAGTTGCTTATTTTTTTTTGTTCTGCTTAATCTCTTCTTGGTTGGGGGCAGTTAATAAGATATTTTGCAGCTAAAGGAGGTTCCTTTTTTCAGTGATTTTGATTTTTCACAATTCTTGAGAACTCTTATTTCAGAATACCAAAACAATTAAAAAGAGTTTTTGTAGCTCACCTGAGGTGAAAGCTCATTGACAAGTGAGCTTTCTGATTATGCACCTGTAATCCATGGTCCATCTAGCTGTCAGTTTGTAAAATTTTCACCTTTATAACTTCTCAAGAAATACCAAGCCAATTTAAACCAAATGTTATGCAAAGCATCTTTAAGTAAAAGGTACTTGCAGTGGTTAAAGGACCAAGCTCCCTTTACAAAGGGGGATAATGCAAAAAAAAAAAATCAGATAGGGTCAATAAACATTTTCTTAAAGGAGAGCAAAGCTAAAATGTGAAGCATCTTTTGGTGTAGTGTTGATTCTAAATTGTTTAAATCATGGCCACTAGGTCTAGGGCAGGGCCACAATAGGGAAACAAAGTTTTTCATTGAAAAATCTGTAAAATCTTCATTTCAAGAGCTTTTGGGCTAGAAAAACTGTAACTTATATGGATGCATCATAGGCTAGTTTACACATTAGTTAAATTGTTTAAATCATGACATCTTGGGAAGGACAGTGCCACTTTTGCCTTAAAAATATAGAAAAACCTTTATGAACTTGTTCTTAAGAATCACTGGTCCAGAAAACCTAAATCTGAGGGTCCACAATACATTATTATGATGCCAGTGGGGTAGAGGGGACCACAATAAGGAGGAAAATGTAGTGAAGAACAGCAGGCCCAAAGTTACTTAGGTGAGGAGCATCATGGCTCATGAGCCTCTTGTCTTGTGTATGTGATTTTGTACATGCATTATAATTCTTGCTCTTGCAAGTAATAAAATACAATGTATATTTCAGTTAAGGTTTAATGCTACTGGTATTATGATGGTGAAACAGGTTTTTGCTCGATGGAGGAAGTATACTTATAGAATTACATTATTCAAAATTTCAGGAAAAGAAGTGATTCTATGTTGGAGGAAAGATTGAGTATATTGCTGAAAATGAAAGAACCAAACAAACATGGACCACTGGAAGCAGAAGTTAGAAAAGACTTCAGGGATCTAGCAGAAAATATTGTTTGTCCATTTGATAGCGACGACCAGGCACTATTGCAATTTTCTTCTGAAGAAGGCAAGTATTATATACAATAAGAAGTCTCTCTTTGTAAATGTAAGAATTCTACATATATTGGTACTCTCAGTAGCTCTAACCTTGATTTTTTGAAGTTCTTGATTGCTTGAAATGATTCTCAGTCCTAGTTATTTCTCCAAATCAGAAAGAGAGAGGTGTTACTGTTTTGCCCTTGTGTGTCTGACTGTCTGTCAAATAAAGGATGATGTTGTCTTCCAGGGGAAGATAATTACAAATGAGTGAAAAAATTATGGCGTCTTTTAAATATTTTCTTTTCAAGAACCATAGGGCCGGAAAGATGGAACTCATGTGGAATCATCTGCAGATAGTGAAGATTTTAACTTCTTCAAATCATGACTTTTAGGGCTCATTAAACAATCAAAGTTTTATATAGGATTATATAGAAAAGATCTTTAAAAAAACTTCTTCCCAAGGACAGTTAAGACATAATTGTTCATAGTTATATGAAAGCATCCTCTGGTAGTGTAGATTCAAGTTTGCTAAGGTTTGAACCATACTGTAAATCATGTACAGGTAAATATCAGTATCTCGAACATGGGATATCTCGAATACCCCGCTTATGTCGAAGTCAACCGCCGGTCCCGGCCGTATTCCCTATATATATGATTTATAAAACACCTGATATCTCGAACACGGTAATCTCGAAGTATATTCAAAGTCCCAAGCCATACTTTAACCTGGCTTATCTCAAAGTGCAGTGAATTTTTTGGTCTACTGAACACACCTGGTGTCGTGACTTCACACTTTTTCGCCAGTGGCTATAAATTAACACCTCCAAATCGAGGGAATCTTAATTAATCCCAAGTTCATGTTGGGTATCTGTGACAGGGTAATTGGTATGAAAGCTTGGGTGTTGGTGTAGTTTACGACCGATAAAACCTCTTGAAGCACTTCAGAAATTAAATACTGTCAGTAATATAATTACCGATATTGCATTTAATCTGTATAATTAAAATCGTAAATTCATAAAACACGTAAGATTTTTCAATATAAACTTAGACAGTTAAGTTGCAGTGATAAAACACAGTGCAGTGATTGATTACATCCATGTTAATCTGCGTATGAAGAGATAACCTTGACCGATATTTGCATTGTTAGTTTCGTATGCTATATGTTCCTTAGTATTACTTCGTAATGTAATACATGTAAGCTATTAATAGTATTCAAGTTTACAGTTTAAATACTGATTTTCTTTTAGTGCTCTAAATAACATTTTGCACTTAATTTCATCAAATAAAGTTTTAAAAAATTCGTCTATTTGTTTTCTTACGGAGAAGGTTCTTCAAATATAAGTATAACGCTAATGATACATCCTGTTTGAACACGTAAGCATGCCCTGGAAAATGTAAAATCGCTGTATATGCAATAAGGCATGTATATTAAATTGTTTTACAATTATACACGATAAAGAAAACACTAACATTGCTTTTCTTAATATTTATTGCTTGAATCTTTACCGTAAAGACTACATGTTTGGTAATACAGGATATTTTTATGCAAGAAGATGCATTTAAAGAAAAAAACGGGAAATTATTGATTCCACTTTGGAAGATAACTTCGGATATCTCAAACCCCCGGATATCTCGAAGTCGTGTCCAGGTCCCCTCAACTTCGAGATACTGATATTTCACTGTATTACATTTGGTAGTGCATTCTGTTAAGTACCTTTTGAAGAAAGCATTTTCCACCAAATCAAATACATTGCTAAATGTCTTCTTTACATGTTTATATAAAGCACATTTAAAAAGGGCTAATTCAAATCTGCACTAACTTGTTCCACATTCAATTTTCACCAAATATAGTACAGAATGAGACCTAATAATTAAAAATGCATTTACAGTTTTTAAAGCAATATGAGCTGCATGTTTGACATCGAAAATTTTTATTGCAAATTTGTGATTAACTAACTAAATGACAGAAAAATAAATCATTTATAAACTTCTGTTGTTCATATTTGCAATGGAAATTTTTTTATTAGCTTTGATTGAAACAAAATTGAATTGTTGTCGTCCTGTACAGAAATATTTCTTCTGAAACATTTTTAAACTTTATTTTGGGCTTATTGGTCATAAGGGTTTAAATTACTTACAAATAAATCATTATAGCACATTTTACCAGCAAATTAAAATTTTCGAAGATACAGCTCATATTGCTTTAACTGATTTTTGCTTTTTTTTTTTTAAATCTTAGCCACACTTCTCAGTTGAGTAATGTGGCCTATGGCCCCCTTGTTTAAATCTGACCTTGAAAAATAGTTAAAACCTTTATAGAAGAAATCTAATAAAGGCTTTCCAGTAAATGGAGATACATGAAACCATTTTTTATATTCTATTTTTCAGGTATTAACAGAGTTTATAAGATGGAGAGATTGAAGAGAAAATATGTTTTGGGGAAGTTTCCTGAACAGGTGAGTTCCACTTGTGTTTTCAATTCTAACTAAAAGAAATATAATAAATCTTTGGTATACATGCATATATACTGAACAAGAAAAGAAACGCATAATCAGAAAAATATGAAATTCTAAGTTTTCAGTTTAAACATTATATAATTTAAGCATTTTAGAGTGTGTTGTGATAAAAATCAATATTGCAAATTGAAAAGTCAAGTTGATGTCATTTTCATTGCCCCCAAATTCAAGGGGCATATCAATATGTACTGTGCAAAGTCTCAATGCTAGTGGGTTTCCAATGTACGGATATCGTGGAGGAATACCATCTCATTTCAGTCTCTTGCAAACAATTTATGCATTTTTGTGCAGATTTTTTTCATCCAGCAATTGTAGCAGCAGTTTTACAGCAAGTTCTGAATCGCATGAGGTGATGAAGGGGGGGGGGTGTCTGACGGTCATGCCTGGTTGTAGTTACCTGCTGATGGCCAGATAATGGTCTTCAGACGTTAGTTTTAAGGTTGCAAAGCCCATTGATTTATTTCAAATACAGTTGCAACTTCCTATTGCGTAGCTCCATTTAGTATCATCGTTAACTTGGTTGTATTCATCTTTGTTTGGTCGTGGCATTGCAGTATCAACACTGCAATCAAATCTTAAATATGGGTTTAATAGAAGTGTTAAAAGTTTCTCTAAATCCAAAATATCAATGAAAATAGACAACTGATTTAGAAGAAATGAAAAACACTATTTTCATAAACATGTTTAATCAAGGGAGATAATTCAACTCTTGGGTTTTAAAACCCCATGTTGTCCTTTAAATAGGTCACAGGTATCCAATGATATATGAAATAGTTGTTTCATGTACAATTTAAAAAAATTCTTTGACGAGTAAAACAGTATGCGTTTCTTTTTTTGTTGAGTATATAATACAGTTAAAAAAATGTAAGGAATAACTCATCATAGTTTAATTTGTTATGTTGTATGTAGGGATACCAAAATATTTATTTTCCTTAGTTAAACATTGGATTGCATTATTTGAATGATAGTTGACTATTCAGAGAATTTTTAAAAAAAAAAAACATCTTCGATTCCATTTCCATAAATCAAAAACTCTTTTATTAAATACATGTAAAAAGTAACATCAAAATTCATACATTTTGGAGAATCAATTGCTGGTGAAAGTCTATAGCATTTTCATTTCTACATCTAATCCCAACTTAAGGTTCATTGATGTTACTTTTTACATGTATTTAATAAAAGAGTTTTTAGGTCACCTGAGTAAACTCAGGTGACCTATTGCTATCTGTTTTCGTCCGTCGTCGTGCGTTGTGCGTCGTGCGTTGTGCGTTAACATTTGAACATTTTAAGCTTCTTCTCTGCAACTACTCAACCAATTTCAACCAAATTTGGCACAAAGCATCTATGGGTGAAGGGGAACAAAAATTGTGAATTTCATGATCCCTGCACCCCTGGGGCCTGAGGGGTGGGGCCAAAACCACTAAAATTAATGCAATCTTTAAAAATCTTCTTTACTCCTGGACATCAAGCAGTCAAACTGTTTGCATGATTGTAATCAGCATTGAGTCCTCTACCAAAATTGTGAAATTCATGGCCCTGGGGACAGAGGTTCTAGTGCTAGGGCGGGGCTAAATAAGTATATAGTGAAAATGCATTATTTCTTTGAAAATCTTCTTCTCTGCTCCTGGTCATTAAATAAACAAACTACTTACATAGTTATGATGAGCAAGAGTGCCTCTACCAAAATTGTGAATTTTATGGCCCCAGGGTCAGGGGTTCTGGTGTTTGGGGGGCTCTATTGATTATATAGTGAAAATACATGAATTCTTTGAAAGTCTTCTTCTCTACTCCTGGGTATTAATTAAACTATCGAAGTGCATATTTATAATGAGCAAGAGTGCCCTTACGAAAATTGGGAATTTTAAAGCCCCAGGGTCAGGGGTTCTTGTGTTAGGGGGGGCTGTATTGGTTATAGAGTAAAAATACATGAATTCTTTGAAAATCTTCTTCTCTGCTCCCTGTTATTCAATAGATTAAGTAAGTGCATAGTTATGATGAGTAAGAGTTCCTTTACCAAAATTGTGATTTTTAGGACCTCAAGGTCAGGGGTTCTGGTGTTGGGGGGGGGGGCTCTATTGTTTACGAGGGTTGTCCCGTAAAATCGTGGACAAAGCGTTTTTCTCGAAAAATAATGGACGTAATAAGCTGAAATTTTCAGTGAATGTTTATTTATCATATTTAAGATAATTATAATGTTTTGGAAAAAATATACACAAAAATATAGATTTTATAATGCTTGAATGTGCACAGGGTAAGGCCCTACGGCGCACGGTCAAAAAACGAAGGTTTTAGAAGAGAATACATGGGTATTGATTTGAAACAAAAGATTTAGATAGATAAGATTAGGGTCAAAATTATCCTTATTCAATTCCACAATTTATTTTGTTGTCTTCTTAAAATTTTCAATGCATTTGGTCAATTTTTGACAGTTTCCTGAGCATTTGAAACGGGAAAGTGGCAAACACAACGCACGAAAAATGGTGACGTTTGGTGACGTTACGGCGCACCGGAGATCAGTTCTCTATGATTTAGATAAAGTAATAACGCCGTGTAAAACTTTAAATGAATACAGAAGAAAAAAAATCTCCCAAAATTGCCAAATCTTTAGTATATAAATGAAATGGAAGATTTCTGAGTAAAGTCTTTCTTGATCGAGTTCCGAGGTACATGTACGTAGTACAAGACATACAGACAAACTACAATTGTAATAGCTAAAGACGCTGTCAATGTTGACCGCGTCAATATAAGATTGTCTATTAGTTGAATGATGTTGGAATATTGTCCGTATCTTACTAATAAATCATCAGAAGATCGTACATTTGTGCCAGATTGGTTCCTCAATTGTTTATGGAGACTTACGTATGTGCTTCAATGAAATTTCGAAATTTAAGTGGGAATTATCCAACTTTATTTTTAGTGCAAAGATGAAATTTGAGGTACCTGACGCTGTTTTAGGCACTTTGACGTTATCATCCGTGCGCCGTAAAGCGATACAATACATAATATAAAATCTCATAATTCGTTTATTTATGCATATATCTATTTGAAATTTGCTATATTTATTCAGAAAATATGTGCTATGAAGTAGTGAAAATTTCAGAACGCAGTGATAATTTTTATTCATGCAAGACAACTTGTCCACGATTTTACGGGACAACCCTCGTATATAGTGAAAATACATGAATTCTTTGAAAATCTTCTTCTTTGCTCCTAGGTATTAAATAAACTAACTAAGTGCATAGTTATAATGAGCAAGAGTGCCTCTACCAAAATTGTGAATTTTACAGCCCCAGGGTCAGAGGTTCTTGTGTTCGGGGAGAGAGAGAGAGAGGAGAGGGGGGGGGGGGGGGGGGGGGGGGGGGCTATTGATTATATAGTGAAAATACATGAATTCTTTGAAAATCTTCTTCTTTGCTTCTAGGTAATAAATAAACTAACTAAATGCATAGTTATAATGAGCATGAGTGCCTCTCCGGAAATTGTGAATTTTAGGACCTCAGGGTCAGGGGTTCCTGTGTTTGGGGGGGGGGGGGCTCTATTGATTATGTAGTGAAATTCATGAATTCTTTGAAAATCTTCTTCTCTGCTCCTAGGTATTAAATAAACTAACTATATAGTTATAATGAGCAAGAGTGCCTCTTCCACAATTGTGAATTTTAGGGCCCTAGGGTCAGGGTTCTGGTGTTAGGGGGGGGGGCTCTATTGATTATAGTGAAATACATAAAATCTTTGAAAATTTTCTTCTCTGCTCCTGGGTTTTAAGCAGTTGACTTACCTATATAGTTACGAACAAGGACCGTTAGCTTCCAGAATTGTGAATTTCAAGGACCCAGGGTCAGGGGTACCATAGAGGGGGTGGGGGGGGGGGGGGGGGGGGGCTGTACTTATAGACTGACACTGAATGAATTGTTTGAATTTTGCTCCTTGGTATTAATCAAATATTTTTGAAAAACAAGGATGCCTTTTCAAAAATTGTGCAATGTGTAGATCTAGGCCTAAGGGTCAGGGGTTCATGTGTAGTAGGGGCACTACTGATTATTGCTGAATACTAGTATTACTAATTAGTTGAAATGTATTTTTTGTTCCTCTGCCTTGTCTATGGGTATTAAGTAACCAAACTAAGCAACTGCTAAGTGTATAGTTATGATGATCAATGATGCCTCTTTCAAAATTGTGAATGCCATAGCATCTAGCTTAAAATATGAACCAAATTCAATCACTGGAAAGTTGTTGCATGATGTTCAGGTGACCTATAAGGCCCATGGGCCTCTTGTTGATTTATGGAAATGGTATAGATGATGTTTTTTTTTTTTGATTTTATTAAATATTCAAATGTTGTTTCATTATTTAATCACTGGTCTATTTGACTGATAGTAGAATAATTGACTATTCATTGACATCCCTAGTTGTAGGTAATATTAAGCAATTTGTTCAAGTAAATACACAGTTATTTCCCTTTTCCAACCGTGTTTCCTTGTTTGTTTGATATTCATGTATATACACAGATATGATATTGCATCTAATATATAAAACCAAATGATAAATATTATCTGTTAAATCAGGCAGTGGTTGACTTAAGGGCAGCAGTAAGCCCAAAAATGGTGAAGCTATTAAAGGAGAGGGGTATCACAGAAGATCTCATTAGACAGAAATCTGGTGTTACCGTTGATGAGAAAGAGTCCGATAATATGGTTCTCTGTGGAAACATACTGGAAATCAAAGCAGCTTTTGATTTTCTATCATCATTGCTAAAAAAGCCATTGAAAAGTTTGGGACAACAAACTTCTGCTAAAGATAATCCACACAAACCGAATCTGAAAACATCAACTGATAAAACAAATCATTTGAAGCAAGTATCTGATGGTGGAAAAGTAACAGAAGAAGCCAAAACTGTTCCTGAACAACTGAAACAATATGAAAATTCATCTTTAAAGCTTTCACAAGTTTCCTTTACACCATCAATGGCACCATCCACACAAAGTGTTCGTAAAAAAGATGCCCAAAAAAGAGAGTCAGAAACTGTTGAATCAGATATATATCAGCCTTCTTATGCTGAAAAAGATTGGAAAGGTCCCGAAATGCAATACACATATGAAGATTATATCAAGCTAAAGCATTTTTCTAAATCGATGCTAGGTGTTGTTAAGGAAGCATGGAGTCCCAAGAAGACAATGGTTACTATCAAATTTGCAAACGATGGTCATAAAGCAGACTTGGAGAGTATGTTGCAGAAAATTCACCAAATGAGTAGAAAAACTATTGCTGTGCAGAGTAAACTTGAATTTCTGGAAGAAATTCTTCAGCAGAAATGTAGCAATGATCTATTTTGCTACTTGACCAAAGATAATGAAATAGAAATCATTGGCAATAATGAGAGAATTGTTGATAAAGCTAAGAAAGAGTTAGAAGAATTACTTGCTTTTGAAATTAAGACAGAAGAAGAAGAACAAGGAGAAGAAAGACTATTACCTGTATTTTTTACTAATGAAGGAGTTTCAGTATTTGTCTACCATGGTTCTCTCCTCACAGCAGAAGTAGATGCAATAGTTTGCCCAATATCAAACAAATTTGAATTACATGGATTACAAAAAAGTATTGCAGAGATGGCTGGGCCTGCATATAAGAAGGAAGTTGAGGATATTCGTCAAAGGCATAAAGGAAAACTCCCAGAAGAATTTATATGCATCATACCAGGAGGAGAAATTCCATCTTGCAAATTTGTTGTAAATATTGTAACTGAAAGATGGAAAGATAAAGAAGATAAGAAATGCAAGATTTCTCTTCAGTTCAAAATGCTTCAAATATTTCTTGAAGCTGAGCAAAACAATTTGCAATCCATAGCATTACCAGCTATTTGTGCAGGTATGTTTTTATCAAAACTGTAATTTATATGCTGTAGAATGACCTTTTTTATGTACTTTTTAGCTCACCTGAGCTGACAGTGCAAGGAAGATTTTCTGATCAAGAAGGATATAGAGATAATGAACAGTATTCAATATCAAGGTCAATAAAACATACAAAATAGAAGCAGAGCAAACACAGACCTCTGAAACATCAAAGGTGGGATCAGGGCCATGGAGGAGTGAGCATCCCATGCTGACTGGTCACACCCGCCGTGTGCTCTTTGTTATCAGAAAATAACAAAAAAATCTGTCATCAATCCAGTGTATAAATAATCAACTAACAATTCGTATAAAAAACATCAGTCAGCATTTGACTCAATGATTTTTTGACAAGGTCATGTTGTATCAACCATAGAACCTGCAAAATGATGACTAAACTTGTGAAATGATGACTTTAATCCATTTTTTCTATGTCTGTCTATTTGAAAAATTTTCTTATTTTCAACTTCAAATCAAAACCACTGAACCAGCTATAACCACAGTCGGTACAAAACATCCCTTAAGTAAAATGAGATTATATAAATATTGCATGTAGTTGAGTGTAACATTGAAAATTTTCACCTCTTGAAAACCATTGTCAACCAAGGCTGATATTTTTTTTTTACCAAATCTTATCTGCTCTGTATTGTGTTTGACTGCTATGGCCTTTGTTATACCCCCCGCAAACGAAGTTTAGGGGGGGTATATTGGAATCACCATGTCCGTCTGTCCGTCTCTCTGTCTGTCTGTAGACGAGATTTTGTCCGGACCATTACTTAGAAACTATTGGAAGGATTTGTCTGAAAATTTGTACACATATTATTCACCATATGAAGTTGTGCACCTGATATTTTCATCTTGATTGGATTATTATTTTGAATTTTACAAGTGTTTTTTCATTTTTATTTTGTGGTTTTGTCTGGACCGTTTCTCAGAAACTATTGCAAGGATTAATCTAAAAATTTGTACACTTATTATTTACCATATGAAGGTGTGCACCTGGAGTTTTCAACTCTTTTTGTCAATTTTTTTGCATTTTACAGGTTTTATTTTTTATTTTAATTGACTTATTCATTTTGGGCTCATGTATTAGGTTTGAGATATAGAATCTAGAATATGTGTTCAAAAATACTACAGCTTAAAACTACTCATAAAAACTTAAAAAAAGAAACATCATCAAGTGTTAAAAACAGTTTTTACATTGCACAGAAGATAATGTAATTTCATTTGTCTCTTGGGAATAATGACTGGACATGCATCCAGTTAAAGATAATTAATGAGTTTGGTGTTGGAAGTTGTTAAGGAATATCTCTTATCATGCATGTGTGTTATCTATCTCCAGGGAATAAGGCACAAGAATTAAAGATCTCTCTTCTCTTATTCTCTTAATTGTAATTTATTTCTGTCAAAGCACTTCATTACTGGATGACCAGCTCTTTATTTTCAAAATGCATTTCAAATTGATATATCAAGATTAATTTGATTTTGTATAATGGTTTTTTTTCAACAATCAGTTTGCAGAGTGACATAACACATAATTGCAATATATTTTTTTAATGCAGTAATAAAAAAGAAATAAAATGAAAAAATAAAAAAAAAATGTTACAATGGAATTACAATTTATGAGTATTGATGTTTCATTTGGTTGCACATTTGTTTCATTCATTAAGAAACATGATGACTATTATATTTCACAGCAAATTTTGTAAGTAAATTGTGAACACCTCTAGATCCATAAAGTATTTTTGAATTGGCACCTTCTCTGAAAAACCCAGGGGGGGGTATTTGTCCCTATTGGACAGTTCTAGTTTTATTTTGTTGTCCTGCTTCTCTTGATAAGAAGAACCATTCATCAATAATTTTTCAAAGCCTCTTCCCTGATAGCAGGCTTAGGGATCAAAATGTGCATCAATATTATTATATTAAAATCCCAACAGCAAAAAATACCAAGTAAACACTTACATGAGTACAACTTTATCTTGAATAGTCTTTGCATTTCATAGATGCGTATTTATTTCAGACATGATCTCAAGAGCAAATATTGAACTACTAAATTCATCTAAAGTGTTATAGAGGAATATAAATCACATTTTTATTTTTTGATCAGATTTTAAGCTAAACTAAAACTAAGGATTAGAAAATTTGATCAAATTTAATTGTCAAATGTCATGGTGAATGAATGAAGAAAATATTGGCAAAGAAGATGGGCGCATTTGGCGAGTGATCTGCAGGAATCATTTGTACGAAACATTTATGGTTTGAATGTCCATGATTTAGTTGGCTGAACATAGCTGGTCAGATTTTTCAAGCACATCGATAGGTTTTTTTCTCATTTAGTTTGAAAGACCGTCTGAAATTGTAACATTTATGTCCGTTTTTCCTTGGGGTACTATAACATATTAATGTTTCACAAAAAATAAACACCTAAAATACTTAATGCATAGATGCATGATACATGTACATTATAGAATAGAAGATTAAAATTGATTTCGCTCGAGAACCAAACTGAACCAAAATTTATCTAATTCAAAATTTAAATACTGAAGTACATAAAATGAAACTGACAAAATAAATAGATGTTGGCATGAAAAAAAAAAAATAACGCCCCATGCAAGGCTCGATCGAACCAAAAACTTTTCACTTCGAGTGCACTGAACAGCTAGCCCAACTTACTGAGCTATCACCGCTACACATATACTGTTAATTTTAAAAGGACAAAGAAGAACCACATTCACACTTTTGGATTTTTTTTGGGAAAAGTTAATTTTTCGTGGTCTCTGGGTCTTCTCTTCATTTTGTAAAAAAGTGAATTCGTTTCTTTGAATTTAACTCTTTACAACGTACAGAATTGCTATTCAACGTACATTGAATCCTCGCATCACAGAAATATTACTTTACCATTTCCCCGCAAGCACTTTATAGTGGGGTAAAAATTTCTCTAAAGTTTAGCGTTAATAATATTCTGAAATAATATTTTAATTAGAAAATAACTTTTCATATTTTATGAGATTCAGGTAAGTATAAAATAGTAGGAATTTGGCAATAAATTGAAGATTAAATGAACTTTTTAAAGTGCGTGAAAATGCGTGATTGCGGGGAAACGGTAAATGCGTGATTTTGCGTAAGAAATAAGAAATGGTATATGCATTAAAATGCGTGACTGCGGGGAAGGGTGTTAAATACACACAAATATCGTTTCAAAATCATGGAGAGAAGACCCAGAGATTTTATAAAATCTTGTTAAAAAATGTACCTTTTTGTACTAATGTATGATCTGGCCAATTTTCAAGTTATTTTTTAATCTAAACTAGGCTCAATTTCTGGAATTTTTTTTTTCTTTCCTGTTGCACAGGAACCCGATAAATTAAAAAAAATGTTAAAATTTCATGTGACATGTCGATAAAATTTTCACTTTTCAAGAACGCCCAGATTCCTGCCGAATGCCCATCAAAAGCGCCCTCGTTCTTTCATTGTATTGCACACCATGGACACAACTTGTTTGAATAATAGGCATATTTATCATTTTAGGTAAAATGGGATATCCAAAAGAGATCTGTGCCAATTGCTATGCAAGTAGCATTGTGAAATACAGCAGTTTTGTAGATGATACGAGAAACTTGAAGGAAATACATTTTGTGGATCAGTCAGTAGAAATGATCACCTATATTGAATCTGTATTCACTAATCCAGACATGATTGAAGAATTTGAAGAGGAAGAAATAACAGACAGGAAGTCCAATGAAAGTTCATCATCTTCTTATCCATACATGGATAAGGACAACACTTGTTGTTTGAATGAAAATCTTCAAATAACAGTGGTTAACAAAGACATTAAAATAATGGGGGAAAAAGAGACATTTGTTCTTGATCCCATGTCACTAGAGTCCCAAGTAAAGAAAATGCTTCCAAATTTAAAACAAGCAAAAGAGAAAACCAAACAGCAGGATTATTATGGAGAATTTGAATTAGTCAGGGATAGTTCAGGAAAGTCTATTTTGATTGTGGATTTGCCAGTTTGGAAAAGTAACATTAAAAGTCCAGAAGAACAAGCAGCTTACTTGAAAAAAATGTCTTTGGGTTATCAAAAGATTTTTGAAGAAGCTGAAAGACTCCATCTTTTTCATTTGATCCTACCTTTATATGGAGCAGGTGAGTAAAAATACTGAGGGAGGGTGTGTGTGCTGTGAGGGGGCCTGCATGTATATACTATGAGTAAACTGTAAAAATTATTTAAAAAATTAATTACATAATACCTAATAAACAAAAATGTATTGTCTGTCGAATAAATTCGTTTATCTATTAACATTTATAAAAAAAGGAGATATAACTAGATTTTTTAACTTGGGAAAATAAAAAAAATGAGTCATTTTCCTTTTCAAAATGTCAGTAAAATTGATCACTGCAGCTATCTGACTAAAGCCAACCTTTATTTCTGCTATTGCATAGAGGATATGTGATAACTTAAATAGAGGTTTGGCTTTATTCAGATTGTCAATGTGGCAATTATTTACCAGCTATGGTGATGCCGCCTTAAAAAATATAAATATTTAATAATTTTTTGGCCAAAAATTTGATGCTTTTTTCCCAATTTCTTCTCAAGAACTAAATATTAGGCTGAAAAGTTAATCTATATTGGACTTAACTGATTAGCTGATTAGCTAACATTTTCTCAACATCGTTTAAGACAATATATTCTTCAGGCAAGTTTTAAAAACATTATAGGATTGCTCTTATAATACTTGATCTACGACAAGTCAATTTTTCAGATATTATGATGACAAGCAGTTGTCTCAGGCTCTGTCATACATAAATAACAAGACACTGAGTCCTTATTAGGTCATGATTTTATACAAATCAGCATTATTATCCAGCAAGAAGTCTACATTAACATCTGACAAGGTGACTTGAACATCTAAGAAGTTTCAACATTAACGTCTGACAAGTCAACATAATTATCTGACGAGTCAATATACATGTAAACATCTAACAAGTCAACATATACATCTGACAAGTCAACATAAACATCTGACAAATAATGACAGAAATATGCCCTTAAGGAAATGTATTCATTCCAGATTGTTCAATTCATGACTAGGAAGTTTGTTAGGATCAGTTTTACATTTGGATAAATAAAGGATAAGTTTTAAGAATAGAAACACATGCATAATAATATATATTGATTTATATCAAACATCATTATTAGTCATATTATATCCTCAACTTCTTTCTTGGGTTCAGGTGAGCAATGTTGCATAGTGTGTGTTGTTTGTATTTCAGCATTCCTTCAAATATTTTGAACTCTTATTGAGATGCCACCATTAGCAGGTGGAAAGTAAATACAGACTTCTATTCAGCACCTGGGGCCTTTGAGCATTGGGGATCTTTTTACAAGTATAATACACATGAAACTCATCAAGAAGAGGAATTTCCTCTCTTTGTCACCTTAAATTCATGAGTGTACTTTGTTTCACAAAATGATTATTCCTTTTTTGGTTGTTCCTTAACTTTCATCATTGCTTGTCGCCTGCATGGCACAAAGGTTTAAGCGTCTCTTCTAGAGTTAAATAGTAAGAGGAGTTGATCCACAAGTCGTGTGTCGAGTCCCACTAAGGGACATAGAGACTGATCCTTGGCATGAAACTTTATAAACAGGTCGCAGTAGATGCTGGCATGAAAAAGATTCCTCCCTGCTCAATCACCTTAAGTGCCTAGTATAGGACAAAATTTCCAGTTCTTCACTGGCAAGTGGGGGTGTCTCCATATGATTGAAAAATTCTTAAGAGGGAAGTTAACAATTTACAATCAATCAATCCATCATCATTGCTTATACCAGGATTTAGATTTGCATCTTTGTTGATGTCTTCATTATCCTATGTTGATTATTTCTCTTTTTTGAAGTTGAAGGGAATAAAACTATCATAAAAGAATGTGCTGTCTGCTTTATCAAGGAACTAAGAACATTCGCTTATAGATGCAAATCCCTACAAAATGAACAATTTTCAATTACAATGCCAATCAAAGACCAGTTTACTCGCGACATAATTCTTAAAGAACTGAAAGTTGTCGTAGATGATGAACAGGCAGGATTTCAACTACCAATATCTAAACGTCAGAGAAAAAGCCAGCCAAGAAAATCAGAAAGTTGGAAATCAGGAGATCAGCCATATGGGACAATATTCAATAAACATCATGATTATTCCTTGAGTGCCTTCAAAAAGAGTAAAACAATAGAATTGATTGTAAAAATTCCAGATGGAACACAACAGGTATTTTTCTATATACTGTTTTAAGACCCCAGTGCTTTTTAAATAGAGTCATTAGAATATAAATACCAAAGAATTTAACTAATTTTAATCGAATAATGCAAAGTGGATGCCGCTCAGTAATAAAAATTAAGAATTTATTTTTATTATACAGATACATGTAGTATAAAAGTATATAATTATTATGAATTCATATCCTGAAAGAAATTTCTGAAAGAAATTTTAAAACTGCTGGAAAAAAAATGAATAAATGATTTTTTTTTAAACAATGTCTTTTTTTCAGTCCTTTCATCCAAATCCAGGGAAATATTTCAGAGGACGCATAGATAGCATATTTCTTCCTGACAATAAAGTTGGAAGAAAAATAATTGGTTTGTTTATCGATGCTTTTCATAGAGGAATCCTTTACACAATAAGTACTTCTCGAACAACAAAAGCGGAGATGGTTGTGCCTACAGATATTCCTATTCCCTCCAAAAGGTACAATTAACGGTTTTAACGGTTTTATGAACGAAAGTCATAATTTTTGCAGTGTTTAAGGACAGATGATACAAACAAGAAAATGAATGTCTGGATTGGTGTATAATTTTTGACCTACTGGTACATGTAATTACATTGCAAACAAGATGTGTTTGTGAAACACTGATGCCCCTGTATGGTAACATAAGGAAGGTTAAACTTTTCTTCAATGCAATTTTGACATATTGGAAACTCAAAATAGGATTTTTTCACTGGATATACAGTTGTGAAATATCAAAGCCCTAGCACCATCTGTTCAAAAGTTATGGCCAAGGATAAGATTTTGTAAGGTAGGTCAAACTATAAGGTCCAAGGGTCAAAATTGTTGGTTTCTTAAGAAAGGAGTAATGTCACGGGGATTGCATTTGTGAAGTATGGAAGCCCTAGCCCTATCTGTTCAATAGTTATGGCCAAGGTTAAAACATTTTAAAAATCATTCAAGTCTAATGTCAAGGTCAAAGTTCTTGATATCAAATGAAAAGTCTTATCACAAGGATTAAAATTGAGAAGTATAAAATCACTAGCTCTAACCCTTTAAAAGTAATTGTAAAGGTCTGTTTTAAAAAAGTATGTCAAATTCCAAGATCAAACGGTCAAAGTTCTTGGTATCAAGTGAAGGATCTTCTCACAAGGATTACATAAAGTAAAGCTTGAAAGCCAGGTAGCCCATACTGTTCAAACATCATGGCATAGGCTAGAGGTTTTTCATAAGTACAGAAATCTCGAAGGTCAAAAGGTCAAGGTTATTGGCATCCAATGAAAAGTTTTGCCACAAAAAATACATAATGATATGAGAAATATGAAAACCTTAGTCTTAACGGTTTCAGAAGTTATGGCCAAGGGGAAAAAAATTGTGAAAAGAAGGTCAAACTCTAGACAAGGGCAAAAGGTCAAGGCAATTGGTATCCAATAAAAGGTCTTGCCACAATGAATAAAAGCCTTAGCCCTAACGGCTAAAAGTTATGGTCAAGATTAAAAATTGATTTTTAAAAAAAGTAGTTCAAACTCTTACATGTAGGTCAAGAAGTCAAGATTATTGGTATGGAATGAAAGGTCTTCCCACCAATGAAAGGTCTTCCCACAAAGAACAAATGTAAAGTATGAAATTACTAGCCATAACCCTTCAAAAGCAATGGTCAATGTCTGATTTTTAAAAGTAGGTCAAACTCCAAGGTCAAAGTTCTTGATATTAAATGAAGTGACTTTTCTCAAGGATTACATGTGTGAAGGATGAAAGCCCTAGCATTTGCCAATCAAAAGTTATTGCCAAGGTAAAAAGTTTTTCCGTAAGTACGAAAATCTTCAAAGTCAAAAGGCCAAGGTTGTTGGTGTCCAATGAAAGGACTTTCCAAAAAGATACATATGTGAAGCATAAAAGTCCTGGTATCTACCGTTAAAAAGTTTTTATGTAAAAATGGGTCAAACAACATGGACAAGGTCAAAAGGTCAAATTTGGTGACACCCAAGGAAAGGTCTTGTCACAAGAAAAACATGTGAAACAAGAAAGTCACAGCTCCACTAAATTGAAAGTAATGGGCATAGTTAAAGTTTTTGCGGACAAACAGCAAAGAGAGATAGACGGATGGACACGACAAAAACTATATACCCACCGAATCTTCGATTACAGGGGCACAATGATGCAAATAATGAAAAATTATTAGAATATAAAGAAATTGTAAACCTTCTTCGATGTTCAAAATTCTATACAAAAATTTTTCACTTCAACTTCCATTTTTATGCAACTTTGAATAAAAAACTACGTGGCCATGGTAAAACTTATTCAGTTTATTCATTCAAACATGATCTAAATTGTTAATTTCAAAATTTTTGACAAAAGTTTGTTTGTATCATGTGTCCTTAAAGTTATAAAATTTTATTACATGTACAGTACTTATAGAAAATTTGTAGTGATGGAGTGTCCATCCGTCCATTCATCGGACTGTAAATCTGTTCATAATTTAGGCTTTGTGATACCTATCTCTTTTCTGTGACTCCTTTTATACATGTACCACTGAATAATTCATAGAATCCTTTTAGCTCTTCTGAGCCAAAGGCCGTTGACCATTGGCCTTTGGTCATTTGTGCAGTTTGCATAAATTCTTTAGAATATAGGTCATAACTCGAGAACCTCTCAGTCATTTATTGTCAAAGAACGAGGGCGCTTTTGATTGGCATTCTGCAGGAATCTGGGCGTAATCGAAAAGTGAAAATTTTACCGACATGTCACATGAAATTATACATTTTTTTTATTAATCGGGTTCCTGTGCAACATGAAAGGAAAATATTTTTCCGAAATTTAGCTTTGATTTCCTAAAAAAAAAAAAAAATAACTTGAAAATTGGCCAGATCAGTAGCCCTTTTCACAAAAAATCTTACGACTAAGATTATTTTTTTCCAATTCTTCTATATTTATCTAAATTGTAGTAGGTTACAAAAAATCTTATATTTCTGTTACATTGCAGTAAACTGTGAATTGTTCATCTGAAAAAATAATTTTCTTCTTTAACAAAAGAAAAATCAAAGCTGTCAAATTTTAATCTTAGTCGTAAGAATTTTTGTGAAAAAGGCTACTGACATTTGGTTCAAAATAGTACATTTTTAAACACGTTTTTCCAAAAATTTTCTATCTCTGGGTCTTCTCTCCATGATTTTGAAATGCTTTGTGCGTGTATTTTAATACAAAGAAACGAATACACTTTTTTAAAAAATGGAAAAGAGACCCAGAGACACGAAAATTGAACTTTTTCCCAACAAATCCAAATGTGTGAATGTTCAGTGCACTCGAAGCGAAAAGTTTTTGGTTCGAGCCTGGCATGAGGCGTTAATTTTTTATGCGCCCGGATCGATAAATGTGAGGCGTATATTGTTTTTGTCCTGTCTGTTTATCTGTTTGTTTGTCTGTCTGTCTGTTGAAAACCATAACCTTCGCCATAACTTTTGAACCATAGGAGATATAGACTTCATATGTGGTATGCATACTCCACTACTAAAGTTCTTTCAAATAAAATTAAAAATGTTTATACATCACAATTAATATTTTTACCGTTTTATCACAGGCACATTTTTCAGTAATAAATTTTTAACACATAGTCCTATAATAATGTAACAGGGTGACAATTTGTTGTTTTTATTTTATTTAGAATAATAAGTCCATTTAAATTAGCACAGCTAATATAGTAAGATACTGTAGTAGATAAGATGGCTGCAGTAGAATTCCATTCATTCATAATCCGGCCATTTATTCATAACTGATCATTCATTGTCATCGTGTTTGTATTGTATTATTGCCTGTCCGGTGTTCCGTGCCACGTGAGTATATAGTTGTCACGTGATTATCTTGAGGTATATTATTATCCTAAATGAGAGTGGTAGAACCAGTATATGAGGTGTGGTAGTTATGTACGCGTGTGTGAGTCCTAATATACTAGTAAATACTTAGGCACGGACTGTACCTTTTTAATCTTAAATTGACGAAACTTAAGTTTGATGTTCTCCTGCGTGAAATCTATAATAGCAGTTTACCTAAGAAATTCTTTACAGAATCTTAGTCCTTATTGCCGTGACTGGTAGGAATAATTTAATATTAGTACTGATTTTAAACTATTGAAATTAAATACTAGTAAATATTACTGTCAGTGAAGTTGTACGAGTATGTCATTTTCATTTCAGGTCACCTTTGTTTATACTTCGTTTATTTCACATTCCATGGTAATTGTCAATAAAATATAAGAACCTTCATTTGAGGCATTGTGATTTCATTTCCAGTGATGGAAGACCCCGTGACAATAATTAACACTACTATGGTTAAAAACTTATTCCAGTGGTTTTTATCTAGGACTCCATTTTACTTCATCACTCTCACGCAAAATGCACAACTGGGGATATAAAACAAATATCCAATGAGACATTTCAACGAGATAAACCTGTGATAAAATGTTATGCATTTATTGATGAATCGAAGCTTATTTCTCACAATTTTATATTACAGGGAGAATGTAGATGCTCAGGACCTGCAGAAATTGTTGAAAAGTCTCCAGTCAAAGATCAGCAAATGAGCAACTCGAATTGTTTATATAATCCATAAAGAAAACTGGTGTATCACAAATATATACACAGAATGCATAAACCCAAACATGACTAATAGGAAAGCCTTAAGAGAGCTATTAATATAACTCATTTCTTTATTTGTAAAAAATAGAAGGTTTGATATATGTAAGTTGTACTTTAATGTGTAATTTTCTTTTCTCACTGGGTACATATGTACATATCACCTTTTGAGTTAACGGGGCAATAAAGTTGAAAAAAGTAGTATATCAACAGCTTTTGTCAAAATTCATCATTTTCAAGATATAGATATTCAATGTCATCGTCAGCGAGTATACCGCTTATCATTAACCCCCGCTTTCACGAAAGCAAGGGAACATTAAATCTCATTCGTATGTCCGTCCGTCAAAAATACTTGAACCTTTAATTGCTCATTAATTTTGATTTAGCTGAGCAGCTGGAGCTATGACTTTCATATTTCACTTGTGTATTCCTTGTGACTAGACCTTTCTTTCTTAATTTGATCTTGACCTTGTCATTTGACCCACTTTTACACCAAAAATTTACACTTTTACTTTAGCCATAACTTTTGAAGACTAGATACTAGGACATATTTCACATCTGTATTTTTTGTTACAGATTGTTTTTGTTTATTAACATCAAATACGTCTCTATGCACCTGTTATAAGATTGAGAACTTTTAACTATTTTACTCTGCTTAGAAAATTGTGAATATTTTTCTGAATAATCGGAATACTTTTTCACAAAACGTCTTGCGACCAAGACTAAAGTTTCACCACTCTGTAATTCTTGATCTAATAAAGATATTGTTTTCCTAATTAATTAATTGCAATTCAATAATAGAATATTAATAAAATGTTATAGAAAAATATTTTTTGCAGCTTAGGTATTTGTTGTAGAATGGGGAATAATTTTAGTTGGTCGTAAGATTATTTATGAAAAGGGCCACAGTACGTTTAACTTCCTTCTCACCAAAATATTGTCAGTTATCAATTTCACTTCCTGCACTAATCCTGTTGCTGTCGATGGTGTTGAAATTGTCTGATAAGACTTAATTTAACCAGGGACCTTTACTAGTATACTAACAAGTATATTTATATGTCCCTGATATAACACTTGCATTTTGTCTTAAAAAAAAACACAACTTACAAGCAAATTCAAAGAATTGTGGCCTCCCGCTTTCGGTTTCTTTGTGGATGAGATGTTATTTTTTATGACATATATATGAACATCCTATCATATGTCATTAATTTAGAATTATCATTGAAGTTGATTATTTTTGAAGGATGAAAACCCTAATCCTGACCGTTAAAAAGTTATGGCCAAAGTAAAAACTTTTTTTAAAAGTAAGTCAACTCCAAGATCAAGATCAAAAGGTCAAATTTATTTTTATTCAATGAAAGGTTTTCTCACAAGGATTGCATATGTGAAGTATGAAAGCCCTAGCCCTTACTGTTCAAAAGTTATGGTCAAGGTAAAAGTTTTTTCAAAAGTACGTAAATCTTTAAGGTCAAGATTGTTGATATCCAATGAAAGGACTTGCCACAAAGAATACATATATGAAATATAAAAGTCCTAGTATCTACCGTTCAAAAGTTGTGACCAAAGTTAAACTTTTTTAAAAAAGAAGTTAAAACTCCAAGGTCAGAGGGTCAAAGTTGATGGTATCCAATAAAAAGTCTTCTCTAAAAGATTACATATGTTGTGACCAAGGTTAAATTTTTTAAAAAGTAGTTAAAACTCCAGGGTCAAGGTCAAAGGGTTAAAATTATTGGTATCCAATGAAAGGTTTTCTCACAAGTATTACATATGTGAAGTACGAAAGCCTTAGTCCTCAACGTTCAAAAGATATGGTCAAGGTTAACGTTTTTTCATAAGTACGTATATCTCTACGTTCAAGGTCAAAAGGTCAAGGTTGTTGGTATCCAATGAAATGTCTTGCCACAAGAAATACATACGTGAAATATAAAAGTCTAAGTATCTACTGTTAAAAAGTTGTGACCAAGGATAAGTTTTTCAAAGTATTTAAAACTCCAGGGTCAAGGTCAAAGGGTTAAAATTATTGGTATCCAATAAAAGGTTTCCTCACAATTATTACATATGTGAAGTACGAAAGCCTTAGTCCGCACCGTTCAAAAGATATGGTCAAGGTTAACGTTTTTTCATAAGTACGTATATCTCCACGTTCAAGGTCAAAAGGTCAAGGTTGTTGGTATCCAATGAAATGTCTTGCCACAAGAAATACATATGTGAGATATAAAAGTCCTAGTATCTACTGTTAAAAAGTTGTGACCAAGGTTAATTTTTTTAAGTAGTTAAAACTCCAGGGTCAAGGTCAAAGGGTTAAAATTATTGGTATCCAATGAAAGGTTTTCTCACAAGTATTACATATGTGAAGTACGAAAGCCTTAGTCCTCACCGTTCAAAAGATATGGTCAAGGTTAAAGTTTTTTCATAAGTACGTAAATCTCCAAGTTCAAGGTCAAAAGGTCAAGGTTGTTGGTATCCAATGAAATGTCTTGCCACAAGAAATATATATGTGAGATATAAAAGTCCTAGTTTCTACTGTTAAAAAGTTGTCACCAAGGTTAATTTTTTTTAAAAGTAGTTAAAACTCGAGGGTCAAGGTAAAAGGGTCAAACTTATTGGTATCCAATGAAAGGTCTTCTCACAAGTATTACATATGTGAAGTACGAAAGCCTTAGTCCTCACCGTTCAAAAGATATGGTCAAGGTTAAAGTTTTTTCATAAGTACGTAAATCTCCAAGGTCAAAAGGTCATGGTTGTTGTTATCCAATGAAAGGTCTTGCCATGTGTTTGTGAAAAACTGATGCCCCTGTATGGCACCATATCAATGTTAAAACTTTTCTTAATTGCAAATTAAATTAATTGGTTCCAAAAGTAGCTTTTTCTCACAGGAAAACAATTGTGATATTTGAAAGTATTTAGCCAATGCTAAAGTTTTCTTTTCAATAAGTACAAAAATTTCCAAGGTCAAGGTCAAAAGGTCCATGTAATTTGGTATCAAATAAAAGGTCTTGCCACATAGAATACTTATGTAGAGCATGAAAGCGCTAGCCCTAGAAGTTCAACAGTTATGGACAAGGTTCATTTTTAAGGTCACCTGAGTAACTCAGGTGACCTATTGCTATCCGTTTTCGTCCGTCGTCGTGCGTCGTGTGTTAACATTTGAACATTTTCAGCTTCTTCTCTGAAACCACTCAACCAATTTCAACCAAATTTAGTATACAGCATCTATGGGTGAAGGGAAACAGAAATTGTGAATTTCATGGTCCCCGCCCCCCTGGGGCATAAGGGGTGGGGCCAAAACCACTAAAATTAGTGCAATCTTTAAAAATCTTTTTCTTTACTCCTGGACATCAAGCAGGCAAACCGATAGCATCAATGTAATGAGCATTGAGTCCTCTACCAAAATTGTGAAATTCATTGCCCCAGGGTCAGGGGTTCTAGTGCTAGGGCGGGGCTTAACAGGTTATATAGTGAAAATGCATTATTTCGTTGAAAATCTTCTTGTCTGCTCCTGGGTATCAAATAAACTATCTAAGTACCAAGTTATGATGAGCAAGAGTGGCACTTCCAGATTTGTGAATTTTATGGCCCCAGGGTCTAGGGTTCTGGTGTTAGGGCGGGGCTCTATAAATTATATAGTGAAAATGCATTTATTCTTTGAAAATCTTCTTCTCTGCTTCTGGGTATTAAATAAACTAACTTAGTACATAGTTATGATGAGCAAGAGTGCCTCTTCCAGATTTGTGAGTTTTATGGCCCCAGGGTCAGGGGTTCTGGTGTTAGGGCGGGGCTCTATAGATTATATAGTGAAAATGCATTTATTCTTTGAAAATCCTCTTCTCTGCTTCTGGGTATTAGATAAACTAACTAAGTACATAGTTATGATGAGCAAGAGTGCCTCTTCCAGATTTGTGAATTTTGTGGCCCCAGGGTCAGGGGTTCTGGTGTTAGGGCGGGGCTCTAGAGATTAAATAGTGAAAATGCATTTATTCTTTGAAAATCTTCTTCTCTGCTTCTGGGTATTAAATAAACTAACTTAGTACATAGTTATGATGAGCAAGAGTGCCTCTTCCAGATTTGTGAGTTTTATGGCCCCAGGGTCAGGGGTTCTGGTGTTAGGGCGGGGCTCTATAGATTATATAGTGAAAATGCATTTATTCTTTGAAAATCCTCTTCTCTGCTTCTGGGTATTAAATAAACTAACTAAGTACATAGTTATGATGAGCAAGAGTGCCTCTTCCAGATTTGTGAATTTTGTGGCCCCAGGGTCAGGGGTTCTGGTGTTAGGGCGGGGCTCTATAGATTATATAGTGAAAATGCATTTATTCTTTGAAAATCTTCTCTGCTTCTGGGTATTAAGTAAACCAACTAAGCACAAAGTTATGATGAGCAAGAGTGCCTTTTCTAAAATAGTGAATTTGATGCCAATGATCCAAGTATATATATTTATGATGAAGAAAGGTGCATCTAGCAAAATGGTTATTTTTATGTCCCGAGGGGTGAGGGGAGGGGGGTACATAGTCTGAAAATAAATTAATGCTTTGAAACCTGTTCTTTGGTATTAATCAACCATTTTATGATAAAATTTGCAAATTTTGAAAAATGTGGCTCCAGGGTCAGTCTTTGAATTTTTTTTGGTGAGGTGCACAAGTGGTTATAAAGTGGAAGAACACTTTCTTTTTGTAACTCTGATCTACCTCTGGGTATTGAGTAAGTAGAGTATTTTTAATTATGATAAGCAATGGTGCCTCTCTCAAAATTGTGAATTTCATGGCCTCTGGTTTAAAACACAAACCAAATTTAATTGTTTGAAAGTTGATACACAATACTCAGGTGACCTATAAGGCACGTGGGCCTCTTGTTTTTAAAGTAGGTCAGACTCCAAGGTCAGGGTCGAAGGGTAAAAGAAGTTCTCATTATGAAATGAAAAGTCTTGTCACAAAGATTAAATATGTAAAGTATGAAAGCACTAGCCCTAAGCCTTTACAAGTTATGGACAAGGTTTGCTTATTACAGTAGGTCAATCTCAAAGGGTCAAAGATCTCGGTATCCAATGAATGTTTTTCTTACAAGGATAACATATATGAAGTATGAAAGCCCTTTCCCTTCTAAAGTTATGGCCAAGGTTAAAGTTTTTATCACAAGTACGGAAATCTACAAGGTCAAGGGGTCAAGGTTGTTGGGTATCCAATGAAGGGCTTTCAACAAAGATTACATATGTGAAGCATAAATGTCCTGGTATCTACTGTTTACAAGATATGGCAAAAGTCCAAGTTTTACATTTTCATGTTAAAGTGGCAAGGTCAAGGTCAAAAGGTCAAATTTGGTGATATCCAAAAGAAGGTCTTGTCACAAGGAATACACATGTGAAATATGAAAGTCATAGCTCCACTAAATCAGAAGTTATGGGCAAGGTTCAAGTTTTTTCGGACAAAGAGAGACAGACAGACGGACGGACACGACAAAAACTATATTACGGGGGCATAAAAATTGACTTACTTGAAAAAGTTGACGAGCAAGAAAAAGGAACATTTACCAAACTTGAAAATCCCATGTCCTTTAACGGAGAGGGGGGGGGGGG